CCAGTGTGGGCTGCAGGAGGGGTTTTGCAAGTGAGGGGCTGGGTCAGCCAGGAGCGAGGGGGGAAGATGGCTGTAACAGAGTGTTCTGCCCCACGGGCAGCTGTGTGCACAGCAAGGCCTGCACAACCCGTACCTGCCCCGGGAGCCTCAGCTGCCCCCGTGCCCCCTCTCTGCCCCACCCCAGCGCAGCGCTGCCGCTCTCTTTTCCGGGCCGGGGAAAGTGTTCCCATGCAGAGCAGGCTGGGACACCCGGCCGCGCCACACCGGCGAGCAGCAAAAATTATGAATAAGCTCTTGTTAATAAATACTTTATGATGAATCCAAATAGATTTCCTCCTCTGGAGCAATTATTGCAAAATGGGCTCTAATAGGGTGCAGGGCGGCCCCGGGAAGGGCTGGGTGCCTTTCAGGGCCTAAGTGCCTTCTTCCATCCCCTCTAATGAGCACTTCCCAATCATTTGCATCTGTCTCGGCAACAGGTCTCATTACCAGGTTAACTCATTACCCAGAGCCGCTTCAGCGAACAGTTAGAAGCGGCTACCGGAGGCTCCGGTCCGTGCTAAGGGCATCTGCGGGCTCTGATGAGGAGAAAGCAAATTCCCGCTGTGCCCTTTTAAGGTACTGGGATTTTCAGGATTATTGGAACCTCTGTAGTCGCATCCCCTCCTGCCACTATGCCAAGGCTTCTCATGGGGGCACGGAGCCCGGTGCCCGACTTGCCAGCCCCTGCCCGGGCTCGCAGGGCTGCGGGACCTGGCAGGAGCGGCGGCTGTGGGAGCCGGCAGCGCTTCGGAGGTGTGCGGCTGCTGGAGGGGCGGCTGAGCATCCTTTCAAGGAGTAAACCCTGTGTGGTCCCTGCAGGGCTGCCACGCAGCGAGGCTGTCCTGCATCGCGCCCTGCCCACGGTGGGGATGGCATCCCGCTCCTCCCCGTGGTGAGGATGGCATCCCGCTCCTCCCCGCAGTGGGGATGGCATTCCGCTCCTCCCCGCAGTGGGGATGGCATCCCGCTCCTCCCCGCGGTGAGGATGGCATCCCGCTCCTCCCCTCAGTGGGGATGGCATCCCGCTCCTCCCCACGGCGGGGATGGCATCCCGCTCCTGCCCGCGGTGGGGATGGCATCCCGCTCTCCCCACGGTGGGGATGGCATCCCACTCCTGCCTGCGGTGGGGATGGCATCCCGCTCCTGCCCACGGTGGGGATGGCATCCCGCTCCTCCCCGCGGTGGGGATGGCATCCCGCTCTCCCCACGGCGGGGATGGCATCCCGCTCCTCCCCGCGGTGGGGATGGCATCCCGCTCCTGCCCACGGTGGGGATGGCATCCCGCTCCTCCCCTCAGTGGGGATGGCATCCTGCTCCTCCCCGCGGTGGGGATGGCATCCCGCTCCTGCCCGCGGCGGGGATGGCATCCCGCTCCTGCCCACAGTGGGGATGGCATCCCGCTCCTGCCCGCGGTGGGGATGGCATCCCGCTCCTGCCCGCGGTGGGGATGGCATCCCGCTCTCCCCGCAGTGGGGATGGCATCCCGCTCCTCCCCGCAGCCGAGGCCGTGCTGCTGGGGAGCAAAACCGCCTGCCGAGGTGTCTGACCCCTCCCGTCCCGCTCCTCCTCCTCCGCCCCTCACCCCAGCGCCTCCCCCGTGAAAACTGCTCGGGAATTTCCTGAGGAAACGGTTTTTTTTTTTTCATAGGAAAATTCAGGCTGTTTCGCTGAGTCCGACCTGTTTGGACAAGGCGCTGGAGCAGAGGATGCTCGGAGGGTGGCCAGCCCATGCCGCGGTGCCCGTGCCAGGTGCTGTGTCCCTGCGTGGCACGGAGCATCCCCCTGTCCCCGGAGTGCAGAGCCCCAGAAGAGGCAGCGCCTCAGCTGTGCCCCTTCCCAATCCCTGGCCCTGCCAAACTCTGAGCTGCACAGGAGTTAATCCTCCATGGCATGCCCAGCTCCACACAGAGTGTCCTTCCTTCCTCTTCCCACTCCGTCGCAAGACAGAGCCAGGCTTGACCCGTGCCTCAGTTTCCCATCAGAGCACATGGCATGGAAAAGTAGCGCTCCAGCAGCCCCTGGAAAGGGGGTGCAGGGGGGCCCGGATGGGGCCGGCAGCACCAGGCACGGGCGTGCTCCTGCCTGGGTTGCAGGGCTTTACAAGCCTGGGTTGGATGAGGCCCAAGCACAGGCTCTGCTGCCAGATTCCCATCCGGAAATGCCCCGGGAGCAGCCTCGTCTGGGGTATTGCAGCACGTCTCTGCTTCCCAGCCCCGCAAAGGAAAAACAGCAGGAGAAACACTTAACCAGTCTTGTGCCGGCACTCGGGCTGCTGGGCTGGGAATGTGGGACAAGGGGGACGGACAGACAGACACATCCGTGCCTCTGCCCTCCCGAGTGGATCCGCTGCCAGCCGGGACACTGTGCCCTCAGCGTGTCCCCTCAGCCCCACAGCAGCCGTCTGCTTGTCCTGATGCCCCCGAACGCCCTCGCCTGCCCTGTAAAGCAGCTTAATCACGGCATGGCAGCAGGCTAAGCCGGCCGGGAGGGAAAGTTGGCGAGCGGCTGATTGGCCTCGGGTGCAGCTCCCGGCCTGCCCTAATCCCGGGCACCTCGTGGTGGCTGTGATGGCTTCGGGGTCACCGAGGGCTGTGGGGCCTTCTGCACGCAGCGGGTTTTTGGAGGGTCTCGGTGTGGGTCCAAGAGAAAGCTGCGAATTCTCAGCACCGTGGTGGGACAGGCACAGAGTCTGGGGTGCTGAGGAGAGCACCGAGCAGCCCCCAGCCCCAACAAGCAGCACCCAAGGGTGCTGCCTCACCCAACCCAGCCAGGATAACCTGGTTCCTGCCACGCTTCCCCGCAGCGCTGCCTGGGGTGGCACTCCCCAGGGATGGGGACAATGCGCGGTGTCCCCCGGCCCTGCGGCCAGCCCTGCCGCCGGCTGCCTGGGGAGGGTGGCGGGGCCACGGGATGGCAGCAATTTGTCGGGCTCGTCTGAATAACCGGCCACCAAGGAAGATCAGCCGCCCACCGCCCCGGCCAAGTATTGTTTTTGGAACTCGCTGCTGCTTTTTTCGGCTCCTGTCTTACTTTTCTTTGACCTTCTTCCCTGATTTAAGACACATGCCCAGCCCTTGCCCAGCTGCACTGAATTAGCGGCTGCTGCTGGGGAGGGAAGAGGGAACCAGACCCTGTGGTGGCCCCGGGAGCAGCCGGTGGGGACAGGTTCCCCAGGCAGAATCGGGTCCTCCACGCAAAGAGGGATTCCTCTGGCAGGATGAGCCCCCTGGGCAGGGACGGGTCCCCAGGGTTGGGATGGGTTTGTCTGCAGATTTGGGTCCCTAAGGGTACAATGGGCTCCCCAGTGAGGGGACAGTCCCCTGTCCCTTGTTGGGCATGGGAGGGACGCCTGTGGGGCCACAGCTTTTTGTCCAGAGAGGTGCTGGTGGCCCCCAGAGGTGGCAGGGTCTGTCTCATGAGGAAGGATCTGTGTGTGCAGGGACTTTTGGGGGCTTAGTGGGGCTGTGCCGGGGGTTGGGGCTGGCAGTTCCTGGTGTCTGTGCTGGGTTCAGGGACAGTGGGGTCTGCACTGGGATGTCTGTGCCAGGTCACAGCGGGGTCCGTGTAGGGGTCACTGGTTCAGGGGACACCCAGGGACTCACACTTGCTGTTGTCAGAGTTTGTGCTGAGGGAGCAGATTTAGGGTTAATGGGATCTGTGCTGATCTTGGGAACAAGTGGGAGTTAGCAGGGTCTGTATGGGGCCGATCCTTGCTGGGAAACTCTTTCAGGGGACATTGTTCCCTCCAGGCAGGGTTACTCTGGGACACAGCTGCTTTGCCAGGGAATGGCATCACTGCTCCAGGACGAGTGGGGCCGGATCTGGAGCGCTCGCCCCATCCCCCAGCCACAGCTCTGTCCTTTCCCAGCTCCTGTTCGTGGCCACCTCCTCACCTCAGAGCAGCACTTGCCCCTGGCACCCTCCCCAGGCATGACCCTGTGGCATGGCAGTGCCAGTTGTCACCAGCCACCCCCCTCTCAGCCCTGACACCCTGCAGCAGGAATCCAGCTGAACTCCTTCCTCCTTCTCCTTCTCCTCCCCACAGTCATGAGGGACCCCAAGGGCCAAATCCTGTCCTTGGGACCAGCTTGGTGCTGCCCTGCTAGACACAGGGATGTTCAACCCTCTGCCTGCTGCTTTCCAAGCTGTGTGCTCCTCACCAGGAAGGCTCTCCACACCTTTCCATCCCATGGTGGTGTTGTGGGCCCCCAGCCAGGAAGCACTGATTTTCCAAATTGGAAAAAAAAATGGGATGCGGGAAGGAGGGGCCAGGGATGGGGATGCATTTTCCTTGTTTTCTTTTTGGGGCTGGGCTCATCCAGCAGCGCTCACCAAATGGAAAAAGGCAGTCAGAGCACGTCTTGTGTGCCGGGCCAGGCGCCAGCCGCCGGGCTAGCTGCAACTGGGGCAAACTGGGGGAGTTTCTCACTGGTCCAGAGGGAGTGGAGAGGTCCAAGGCACCCACAGCTTGAGAGAGAGCACCCAGCATGCTGCAGGCATGGGGGACCCGGCATTGGGGTGCTGTGGTCTGGCAGCGCCTGACGCCAGCGCAGCGGCTCCGGTGGGCACAGTGTCAGCTGGGATTTCAGGTGGGATTTCTGCACCTGGTGGTAGCAGATCCTGCGAAGGGGAGAGGGTCCAGGTGCTGCTGAGGTGTTCAGCCTTGTACAGAAGCCTGTCCCTTTATGGCACTGGTTCCAGTGTTGCCCAGCCGCTCCCTGCAGGTTGTTGGTCTGGGAAAACTGCAGCCGGTGGGATTTATGGAGGCCTGCTGGAATGGGGATAACCTCGCTGTGTGGTGAGAGGACCCCCAACCCCGGTAGCCTCTGCCACAGCTTTTTTTCTGGTTGCACTGGAATGCAGCCCAGTGGGAATGAGCCTGGCAGGTCCCCAGGGCTCCACAGCCACCTCGGGAGGGACTCGGCCAGGAGTGACCCCCTGTTCCTCTGCTCCCACAGGATGAGTTCCACCCCTTCATCGAGGCGCTGCTCCCCCACGTCAGGGCCTTTGCCTACACCTGGTTCAACCTGCAGGCCCGCAAGCGCAAGTATTTCAAGAAGCACGAGAAGAGGATGACGAAGGACGAGGAGAGGGCGGTGAAGGACGAGCTGCTGAGCGAGAAGCCGGAGGTGAAACAGAAATGGGCCTCGCGCCTCCTGGCCAAGCTGCGCAAGGACATCCGGCCCGAGTGCCGCGAGGACTTCGTGCTCTCCATCACGGGCAAGAAGCCCTCGTGCTGCGTCCTCTCCAACCCCGACCAGAAGGGCAAGATGCGCCGCATCGACTGCCTGCGGCAGGCGGACAAGGTGTGGCGCCTGGACCTGGTCATGGTCATCCTCTTCAAAGGGATCCCGCTGGAGAGCACCGACGGCGAGCGCCTGGTCAAGTCGGGCCAGTGCACCAACCCCATCCTCTGCGTCCAGCCCCACCACATCAGCGTCTCTGTCAAGGAGCTCGACCTCTACCTGGCCTACTTCGTCCGTGAGAGAGGTGGGTGCTCGTCTGTCTGCAGGGCAGAGCCTGGCTGTGCCCTGCCACTGCCAGCTCTGGGGGTTGTTTTAGTGTTCCCTCCCCATCGTCCCATGCCCATCTCCAGCTGGGGACACTGCTCCCCAACACCTTCCCCACTGCAGACCTTGCAGCGCTTCCCTCCCCAAACTGCTTCTGGGGTGAGTGCCCCCCAGGCTGGCCCCTCTCCCCTAGCCAGGACTGATCCCAGCTGCCCAGGAGCACACAAAGGTCCCTGAGGATGCTCCTGTCTCTGGGCATTCCCAGCATGGAGTTTTGGGGGTTAAACCCAGAGCTAACCGTGCCGAGCTGAGAGGAGTGGCTGGGCAGCCCAGGCAGGGAAGGGGCAACCTGTTCCTGGTGCATCCCCAAGGGCTGGAGCTGGAAGAGTCCAGCAGTGCCCATTTGCCATGGACTACGATGACAACCCCTCAATACTAGAGCAAGGACGGGGCAGAGAGGCTGGCTGGGCAGAGCACAGCAAAAACATTGGTGGGGGCAGCTCCTGCTGTGCCCTGAGGGGATGCTGGTCCTGGCCCTTCACCTGCCTGAGCGTGCCAAGGACTTGCAGGGAGAACTGGCTGCTTTCATTGCAGCAAAGATGGTCAAATCTCCTCTAAAAGCCGTCAGTCAAAAGGGGGAAACTGAGTCACGGCATGCAGCGCAAGCAGCAGGCCTCAGTTTGTGTCCCGGAGCCATTGTCCTCACCACCACCTCACGTCACCTCCCCGCATGCTGGGAAGGGGAAGCTCATATGTAGGGATTTTACCTGGGCAGATTTGTTGTCCCTGGCTGGTGACATGCTGGCACAGACATGCTGCCAGCAGCTTAGGGTCCCCCGCAGACCCTGCCCTCTGCCAGCACCCCCAGGTGTGTGAGGAGCCAGGGGAGATGCTGTGTGAGCCCAGCTGAGGGCTGGACTGGTTCACAGACAGCAGGATCTGTGACTTGCAGCCCTAGGGGCGATCAGGGGTCTTGCCCACCTCTGGCCAGGCCAGGCTACCCATGTGTGTGGGGGTAGCAGGATATTGGGCCCCTCCTGGCAGCACCTCCTGCCCGTGCCCACAGCACGAGCTGATGTTCCCTGGCCCCCTGAGCCCACCTTCCTCAGCACCATGGCAGGGGGAATGTGGGCTGTGTCTCTTTGCCTGATACTGGCCAGAGCCCAGGGACAGACAGTGATACCACAGAGGCCACGGTGGTGCCAGCAGTGCCAGCAAATCAGGTGCCAGTGTTGTGAATCATGGTGGGCACACGCTCTCCTCAGCTATTTGTGGGCTGTGTTGGGTGTCACTGGGGAAACTGAGGCAGAGCGGGCATGTGACCTCCCCCACTACCCAGGGAAGGGGCTGAGACATGGCCGTGCCAGGCTGACCTGGGTGCTGCATGCTGGACTGGGGGCACCTGTACTGACTGGGATGGATTTGGGGCACCTTGTGCTGGCTCAGCTGGAGGTGTAGTGCCACACTGGGATGGAGTACCCTGGACTGGGCTGAGCTGGGAGCACCCTGATGCTGGACTGGGAGCCCTACAGTGGCCAAGCTGAAGGCAGGAACCAGAACCCCCACAGCCTCTGCAATGGGGTCCCCGTGCTGGCAGCCTCCCTGGCCATGCTGTGTCCAGCTGCTGGCCCCAGGAGGTGGCTGCCCCTCTGCCACCCCCCACCCCTCCACCAGCGACCTTGACCCCAGTGTCTGGGTCCCCAGCAGCCGCAGTCACCTGACTGTCTAATTGGGAACACAGCGGCTGTAAATACTCTCTGATAAGGCCTGGCAGCCTCTCACTTTCACTGTTAAGGTCGCTCTGGCCCTGGTTAAGGGGGACCAGCATGGGCCAGGAGCAATAGTGTGGGACCACTGAGGTGCTGCAGTGTGCTGGGTGCTGGACATGGCCTGGTCCCAGCCCACGGTGGGCATGATCAGGCTGTGGCTGATGGGAGGGGTCTCCAGCCTCCCACCTTGGTGGAGAAACTGAGGCAGGGAAGAAGCCACCGCATCGATGGGACCCTGCATAGCGTGGCCAGGCTGCTGAGAGCACTCGAGGGGTGCTGGGGATCAGTGTACCACAGCCTTTGTGGGCTCAGTGAGCTTCTCCCTGCCCGACACGCTGCCCTCCTGCTCCCTCCTACCTGCTCCTGCCCGGCACACTGCCCGTTCTTACCTGCCCCCTCCTGCCTGATTCTGCCTGCCCCCTCCTGCCTGATTCTGCCTGCTCCCTCCTGCCTGATTATGCCTGCTCCCTCCTGCCCACCCGCTCCTGCCCTCTCCTGCCCTCTCCTGCCTCCTCCCTCCTGCTCCCTCCTGCCCTCTCCTGCCCTCTCCCTCCTGCCCTCTCCTGCCTTTTCCCTCCTGCTCCCTCCTGCCCGCCCTCTCCTGCCCGCAGCATCCCAGCCCCAAGGGCAGGGGGCTGGGGGGTCTGACCGCTCAGTCCCCCCCGGCCGGGCTCCCCCCAGCCCCGTTATCAGCCCCGTTATCAGCCCCGTTATCAGCCCGAGCACGTGCGCCCGCGCTCCCCCGCCCCCGCCGCCCGGTTTTGCCGGTGTCAGCACAATTTCCCAGCCGCTGCTCTGGCAACGCCGGGGAGGGGGATGGAGGGATGGAGGAGCCCCCGGCCCTGCGCTCTGCACCCGCGGTCTGGGGCAGCCTTGGCAGGGGCTGAGCCCCTCCGGGCCCATGGCAAAGGCGAGCTCTGCCCCTCCACTATTCCCCCTGTCCTCGGCTGGGCAAACTGAGGCAGGACTTGTGGCAGGCTGTGGGGAGGTGCCGTCCCAGCCCTGCTGGCCCCGGCGGTGGCCGTGGGGTGCAAGGAGTGCCCTGCGCCTGGGTTCTCCCCAGAGCAGCACCAGCGCTGCTCCCATCCTGCACCCAGCCCTGCCACCGCCACCCCCGGTACCTTTTGGGCAGGATAGGAGCAGGATGGGTGCGGGATTGGAGCAGGGTTTGCTGAAGGATGGCTGCTGGATGTGAGCAGGGCTGGATGCAGGATGGATACTGGGTAGGGGCAGGGCTGGATGCAGGGTAGGAGCAGGGCTGGATGCAGGGTAGGAGCAGGGCTGGATGCAGGATGGATACGGGGTAGGAGCAGGGCTGGATGCAGGATGGAAGCAGGATGGAAGCAGGGCTGGATGCAGGATGGATACAGGGTAGGAGCAGGGCTGGATGCAGGATGGATGGAAGCAGGGCTGGATGCAGGATGGGTGCGGGATGAGTGCGGGGCTGGGTGAGGGCTGGGCTGTGCACACCGCAGTGGGGGAGGGGACGGCGCTGCAGCCCAGAGCTGGGTGTGCGGCGGGGTGGGGGGGCGGGGGGGCTGGGGGGAGCTCGGAGGTCGCTGGTGAAAGTCAAAAGCATTGCAGTAAAATGGTAATCAATCTCCCCAGCCGATGGTGCCAGGACCTTCGGAGCATTACGGAGAGATTCCTCCCAGCAGCTCCTGTCGGCAGCAGCCAGTCTTGGGAGGGGGGAACAGTGCCCCCCTCCCTGCACCCTCCCACTAGTGCTCCCCACCTCCGTGGGCTCGCTTGCTGTGCTCTCACCATGGTGTCTCCATCCCTGCAGCCCCATCTGTGCATCCTTGTATCCCCATGCTGCTAGCCACCATCCTTGGACCCCACCCCACTCCCAGCCAGGCTCCCAGAGCCGGGGAGAGGCAGAAGAGGGGCAGTGCTGGCCTCTCACACCCTCTGAGGTTCTCCGCAGCCCCCTCCCCAGCCGTCATGCAGGCTCTGCCCTGCAATGAGCTTTTCCCGGCAGTGCCCCTTGGCTGAGCCCCCAGGCTGAGCAGGCTGGGAGCAGATGGGTGCCCAGGGCAAGCAGGCAGTGGCCCCGGGGTGGCATCGAGCTCCTGGCCCCGGCCATGCCGCCGCCAGTGGACAGCACCTGGGGGGAGGCAGGGACCCCCGCGCTGTGCCAGCATCTGCGTCTCCCACCACCTGGCAGCCCCTTATCTCCCCCCACCAGCCTCACCGCTGGGTGCGGCGCGAGGCAGATGGCACCAATCTGCCGGGGAGCCCGTGCCAGGGCTCTCGTCCCAGGCGCGCTGCGGCCGTGCCAGGCTGTCCGTGCCAAGCGTCTGCTCAGCCCCTCCAGATGGAGGGGCAGGCGTTTCCCCGGGCACCGCCGCTCTACCAGCCCCCGCGCAAATATTTATCGCCAGGGTCATGAGAAGATTGATGGGGTTCACAATATTTAGGATCTGTCATTTGCAGAGCTGGGCACCGGCGGGCGGGCAGGCTGGAGAACCCCCCAGCACACAGATGAACACGAGCAAATCCTCCCCCTGTTCCTCGTGTCTCTACTCCCACCCAAACAGCCAAGGGAGGCCGGAATTGGGGGGAACAAGGTAGGCAGAGCCCAGCAAGTCCAGGAGACGCCCCGGGAAAGGGGACAAGGGTAGGAGACAGCAGAGAATCCGTAGGGGCTGTGTTCCTGGCCCCAGGGCTGCGTGCTGCAGAAGCGGGATGGGAGGGGGCTCCCCAGGGTGCTACCCCCCACCCCCCTGTCTTCTGCAGCGTCACTGCCCGGGGTGCCGCCGCTGCTGGGCCCGCTGCGAGGCTGGCGCTGGCACGGCCGGGGCGGTTTCCATGTGCTCGAGCTCTCCGGATCGATGTGCCGGCGACCTTGGGGAGGTCAGGGCTTCCCCGGCTCTCCCGCAGTGCGCCGAGCCGGCGGCGTGCCGGAGCCGGACGGCTTCCCCGCAGTGCCCGCTGCCAGCCCCGGCCTCGCGTCACCGCTGGAGCGAGCTGAGCCCCGCTCAGCCCGGCGGCAGCGCCAGCGGTGCCTGCCCGGGACCTGGCACCGGGTGCCACCTCCTGTGCCGCCGGAGGGGACAAGGGGCCAGAGCGGTTCCGCGCACCGTTAGGCACCCGATGAATAAAAGATGAGCGAGCTCCTCTCACGAGCACCTGCTGTCCCCCGCCCTTGCCACCCGCCGTCCCCCCGCGCTGGCAAGCGCCGTGCCCTCCCCGGGGCCGCAGTTGCCATCCTGGCCGGGTGCCCGGCTTCGTGCTGCGCTGGCAAGGGACAGCTGGGGCGGCAGATGCCCACGGTGCTCCCTCCCGCCCGTGGCCGCGGGAGGGAGGGAACAGACGCCAGCAAGCCCCCGGTGTGCCCCTACACCCCCGATCAGGGTTGGCACTGCCAGCTGGGGCATGGGGACGGTTCCCTATCACACTGGCTCCTACACGGGGGTCTTGGCCAGTCCTAGTGAAGGGCTTGAAAACTGCTGCCTCAGCCGTGCGTGGTGGTGGTGGTGCAGGGGCTGGTTTTGGGGACCATCAGACTCGGGGCAGGAAGGCTGGCTGTGCTGCGGAGCTCTGTCTGCCACGGGGCTGGAATTGGTGGGGCAGCAAGATAGGGCAGTATATGTCCCTTTCCCTGTCCCTGTCCCTGTCCCTGTCCCTTTCCCTTTCTCTCCACCTTAATTTCTTCCTTCCTTCCTTTCTCCCTCCCTCCCTTCCTTTCTGTCCTTTCCCTCTCCCATCCGTCTCTCCACTCTCCCACCCCCTCCCTGCAGCTGCGCTCCCAGCCCAGGTACCCCCAGCCCAGGGCGCAGGGGCTGGATGCCAGCACCCCGCAGGGGAGAGTCCCGGGGAAGGGTGTGCTCAGCCTTTCCTTTGTCTGTCCCTCTCTCCCCATCCCTTTCCCCGCTGCCATCTGTCCCCGCTCGCCTCCGCGGACGCCGGCAGCCCTGGATGGAGCCCAGGCCTGGCAGGGCTGAGCGAGGGGGCGGCCGCGCCGCCCTCCTGGGGGGGTTCCCCCCGGCCGCTGCCATCTCCGGGGTCGGCCGAGGACAAAGCCGCTCGCTCGCAGCGCCGCTCGCTCGCAGCCGCCGGCCAAGGCGCTCCCGCCTCCCCGGCTCCCTCCCGGGCCAGCTGGCCGCGGCCGGCGTACGTGGCAGCGGGGCGCGTCCGTCCCCCCCGCCACCGCCCCGCCGCCTCGGGGGATGCCTCCGGCCAGGACCTCCCCGCGGCTCCGCTCGGCAGCGGGAGGAGCCGGAGCCGCTGCCGCCCCCGCAGCGCTGGTGGCCCGGGCCCAGCGGAGCCGCCTCGCCCCGCGGCCCCGCAGCGCTCCGGGCATGGCGGGGCGCGGGGAGGAGCGGGGAGGGGGGTCCCGCGGCCCGGCGCGCCGGCCGGCCCGGCTCAGCCAGGATTTACCCGGCACACGCGGCGCTTCAGGGTATTATATAAAGGAGGTTACACAAGCAGGACCGTTCCGGGTTTATGTAAGGGCCACCCCAGCCCGGCGGCAGGGGGATGGACAGTGGGACGGGCGGCGGGACGTGCGATGCCGCTCGGACCTGGGGGTCACTGTGAGACTGGGATGAGGAGTTCTGGGAGTCTGACAGGTCAGGGCCCCCAAATCACACCCTCCCGCAGCCTCCCTCGCCCCAGCCCTTGCAGTGGGATCTGCCCCTCGGCACATTGGCTCCCTCTGGTCTCCAGGGGTCTTCCATCCTGACCAGGCTGTTCACTCCGGGTCCTGCTGGTCCACGTTGTCGCCACGGCCAGCCGGAGGAGCGCAGTGACACCTGAAGACGCACTAGGGCAAACATGAGGCAGGAAGGCAGTTCCACCCCCCCCCCCCCCCCCAATCCAGGCCCAAGGGAAACTGAGGCACGGGGCAGAAGCCTGCTGAACCTCCCATCCCCTGTCCTCGGCTGGGAAAAGGGGAAGGCTGCTGCCCTCGATGTGGGGCTGGGACTGCCCACCCCGGCGCCAGCAGCTCCCCCAGCCCCCGGCATCCTCCAGCCTGTGCGCCTGCGCCCGCGCCGCTGCCGGTAACACCGTGCGCTGTTACCGTCAGCGCTCGGGCACCGGGCCAGGGCTCTCCCGCAGCTGCGCCAGCCCCGGGGGGCACCCGGCCTGCAGTGACACCCCCCAGGGCCCGCCCTGCTGCCCGGGGGTCGTTCCCACGGCGGGTGTCGCTCGGGGCCCGGGGGCACCGTGCCAGCCAGCGGGGCCGGGGTGCGGGAGCCGCGTTTCAATGGGTGGCACGGTGCCAGGCTGCCAGCGCGGCCCGGAGCCCGGGCAGCCCGCGCCCCCCCGGACACACACTTGGCTATTTTTAAAAGAGATCCGATCGACCTGTTTGGGCACTGAGCACTCTGCCTCGCCGGAGACGACCCCGGCACTGAACCCCCTCCCCCCTTAGCTCCCCACAATTTGGCAGCAGGACCACCCCCATCCCACCTCCATCCCCCATCCGAGCCTCCCGGGGGGGTAAAAGGCACAGAATCAACGAAGCAGCGGGGGCACGGGGGAGCTTTACAGGCTTCTTTCTAGTGTAGTCGAGCCACTTGTTGTGTTCTGGGTTTGGAGTGTCCCCAAAACAGCCCCTGTGAGCCCGGGGCTCCCTTCGCCATTTTAGCGGCAGCCGGCGCAGGCGGCCGTCACATGGCGGTGAGAGCAGCGCTTGGCCCGGCCGCCCCGCGCCGAGCAGGCAGCCAGAAATCTGCTGGCGAGCTCGCCTGCCCGGCCTCGGGAGCGCCGGGGGTGCCGAGCCCGGCCCGGCCTCGCACCCAGCACCTCCAGCAGCCCACACGAGGGGCCGGGAGGCGCCGGCCCTGCTGCCAACCCTGCGAGCTCGGGAAAGTCCCGGTTGGGCCGGGCCGGGCTCGGGTGTGTCCCCAGGGTCCCTCAGCAGCACGGCCAGTGAGGTGGCACTGGGTCAGGGTGGTGCCGTGGGACGGTGTGGGGGTACAGGGACGTGCGGCCCACCTGCAGCACCCAGGCATGGTGATGGCCACCGTGTGCCCTGAGGGAACAGGGACAGGGCTGCGGTGGTTTTGTGCACGCAAAGGTCCATGTGGGGCACCTCAGGACATGCTGGGGGTCCCTGGGCTGAGGGCACCGCAGAGGCACCGCGAGGGCATGGCCTGGGGGGCTATCCAGAGGCCATCTGGGAGGCAATTGGGGTCCCTGAGGCCACGGTGGGGGGCTGTGGGGAGCCGGGCCGGCCTCAGGCTGTGACCACCAGCCTCCGTCCCGCGCCTTGGCCGCGCTCCACGCTAACCACTTCCAGAGCCACAGCCAGATTTGTTGTTTTTAGAGGCGAGGAGGGGCCGTGTCCAGCCACGCAGTGCCCGTGGCTGAGCGGGGAGGGGTCCCCAGCCACTCCCCCATCCCAGCTGGTTTGTGCCCCGCTCACTCCCACCACCTACACCCAGTACTTGGGCATGCAGCCGCTTCAAAATGGGGGAATAGGGTTAGAAAAAGAGAAATGGAGAGAAGAGAAGGGAAAAAAAACCCTGTGCCGGTCTCCAGGGGGAGTTTCTGCTCCCTAAAATGGCTGCCTGGAGGGAGGCAGGGGTGCGGGCACATGGTGGTGAGCAGGGCAGGATGCCGTGGCGCTGCCAGCGTGGTGCCAGGCTGGCACGGGATGGGTGGAGGGGATCACGGCAGCTGGGCAGGGAGACAAAATGGCTGATTTGGCATCGGCCTTGAGCAGTCCCAGCGGGCTGGGGCACTTAGGGGTGTCAGGCTGGGAGGTGGCACAGTCCCACTGCCCCCATGGGTGGTGGGCAGCACACAGGGGTGTCAGGGTGGGAGGTGGCATGGGGCCCACATGTATAACTTGTCCAGCCAAGGACAACCAGTCTGGGAGCCACATGTGAGTGCGAGGGACTTGAGGGGAGAAAAAGGAGGAGAAAAACAGGGAGAAAGGGAAAAATCCCAAGGCGGGCACATGGGCTGGCAGTTGCAGCTGCGTGGTTTTGTTGGTGTTTTTGGATTGTCTCAGCCCTTTCCTGATGTCTGCCAAGGCTGCCAGAGAGAAATGCTGGAGGCCAAGGGGTGGGAGGAGAAGGAGGAGGATGGAGAAGCAGGGAGAAGAAGGACTGTGGGGGAGAAATACATGGCAAAAGTTATGGAAGGGCTTTGGGAGCAGCCAGGTGAGGGAGGATGCTCCTGACTGCAGTGTCTGGGCTGTGCCAGGCTGTGCCAGGGCCACTGAACTCAGTGTCTGAGCCAGGATATTTTTAGGCAAGGGGGAGCAAGGCTGGACAGGCTCCAGGGGTCAGAGCAGGTGCTGTCCCAAGCCCCGCTGCCCTGCAGGAGCCGGGCAGAGGCAGGACAAGGTGCCACAGGTTGTGCCATGCTGTGGTGACACTGGAGCAGCACTGGGTCACAGCTGTGGCTGGAGAGAGGAGAGGAGGCAGGAGGCTGGAGCAGGGCCAGGTGACCATCACCCAGCCCAGCACGGGGCTTCTCCTGCCAGGAGCACTGCCCAGGTCCTGCCTGTGGGGCTCCTCTCGCTGGCAGGGGTGGCTGGTTGGTGACTGTTCCTCTGTGCCTGGGGACATGCCAGCTTGGTGGTGGCCCTGCTGTGTGGTGAGAGCTGCTGAGCAGCCTACGCCTCAGTTTCCCCAGCGGGGCAATGTGGGGGCAGGCAGCTGGTGACAACCCTGGCTCACACGGGCATGTGGCACAGGGGCACATGCCACTGGCACAGGGGGCTCACCCTGGGGCTTTGCCTCTTGCAGATGCAGAGCAGAGCAGCAGCCCCCGCACAGGCATTGGCTCGGACCAGGAAGACAGCAAACCCATCACGCTGGGTGAGTGCAGCAGGCAGGGCTTGGGCAAAGGACAAGGGACACCCCAGCCTGTCCCAGGGGCCCTGCCATGGCCAGGGAGGGGGGCTATGACATGTAGTCAAGCTGCCAGCCACTGCCTGGCCCCTGCAATGAGCTGGGCACGGCCTTAGCCTTGAGAGTCCCACAGAGGCCACAGCCCTTGGGGACAGCAGCTGCCATGGAGGTCCCACGGTGGGGGTGCAGCCCCAAACCCTGACAGCACTCTCAGCCACAGAGAAACTGAGGCACTGAGCAGGTCCAGGGCATCTTCAGCAGAGGGAACCAATTGGGGTGGTCTCTTGCTGGAGCAGGGAGCGGAGTGGAGGCTAAGGAGGGGGACAGATGGGATTTGGGGTGCCCTCAAGCATTGCCACAAGGCAGTGCAGGATGGGACGGGTGGTCCTGTTGCCCCCTCAGCACGCCCTCCTCTCTCCCACACAGATTCAACAGACTTCCAGGAAAGCTTCGTCACCTCCGGGGTGTTCAGTGTCACCGAGCTCATCCAGGTGTCCCGAAGTGAGTGTGACCGTGATGCCACAGCCCAACCCTCAGCTGCCTGGGCACAGCAGCATCCCAACAGCCCCCCCACCCCACAGTGGGCTGGGGCTCCCCTCCCCACCGAGCCCCAGTGACCCCCCTCTCTCCCTGCAGCGCCGGTGGTGACAGGCACAGGGCCAAACTTCTCCCTGGGGGAGCTGCAGGGCCACCTGGCCTATGACCTGAACCCCTCCAGCACCGGCATGAGGAGGACACTGCCCAGCACCTCCTCCAGCGGGTAGGTGCCACCGGGGCTGTGCCAGGGTGGTGCCGGGGCCAGCCCGAGCACGGCTGTGGGGAAGGCAAGGGGCAGCCAGGTCCTGCCACGGGCTGGCACTGACCCATGACAAGCTGGGAGATCTGGGGCTGCTCAGCCTGGAGAAAAGAAAACTCCAGGGAGACCTCAGAGCCCCTTCCCATGCTTAAAGGGGCTCCAAGAGAGCTGGAGAGGAAGCTTGGAACAGGGATGGAGTGCTAGGACAAGGGGGAATAGCTTCCTGCTGCCAAAGGGCAGGGCTAGATGGGTTCACTTTCCTGTGAGGGTGGGCAGCCCCTGGCACAGGGTGCCCAGAGCAGCTGTGGCTGCCCCTGGATCCCTGGCAGTGCCCAAGGGCAGGTTGGATGGGGCTCGGAGTGACCTGGGATAGTGGGAGGTGTCCCTGCCATGGCAGGGGTGGCACTGGATGAGTTTTAAGGTCCTTTCCAACCCAACCCATTCCGTGATCCTGTGACCCTTCTCTGTCCCCAGGAGCAAACGGCACAAGTCGGGGTCCATGGAGGACGACATTGACACCAGCCCTGGGGGCGAGTACTACACCTCCTCCAACTCCCCCACCAGCAGCAGCCGCAACTGGACAGAAGACATGGAAGGGGGTAGGTGCCACCTCCTTTCCAGTGCCCTTCCAGTGCCCTGGGGCCCCCATCCTGCTCCCAGCATTCTGCAAAGCACTGCCAGAACCCCCTGTGACCATCTGGGCACTGCCCATGCCCCAGTGTCCATACGAGCCTTAAGGTCACAGGACACACTGGCCATGGGGGCTGCAGTGCCACCCTCAAGTCCTGCAGAACATCCCTGTTGCTTTTCCATGAAGTCTGTGGGGTTGCTTCAAACCCCCCTAATTTAGGCACAGGCTTTCCATAGGTGTTTCTGTGGCCCCCCACTTTGGGCAGGGCTCTGTGGGGGCTGTGGTGGTGCTACAGGGACCCCCATTTCAACACAGGCTCTCTCTGTAGGGCCAACGCAGCCTCCAGCCCCATGCCTGGTCTAGCAGCCCCACACAGCCTCTCCCAGCCCCAAGTTGGCTCCCCCAGCCCCACATCACTGTGGACAGCTTTCTGGCTTGGTGGTTTTTTTCCCTTTCCTGTCTAGACAAGCCCCAATTAGCTGTTCATTAAGAAAGGGGGGGGCTGGGCTAATTAAAGTGATGCTGCAGGGCTGGCACAGCAGCTCCCACACCCTGAGGTGCAGGCAAAGAAGCTGCTTCTCTTCCTCCTCCCTTGGCTCTTCTCCTGCCCCCCCCAGCAGTGGGGTGGGCTCCACACCAGCCCCCTAGCCCTGCCAGTGCCTGGGGGTGCCCGGCTGGAGGGCTGGAGGCACCAATCCTGTTGGAAGGGGGTTTGGGGGATGCAGGTCCAGCAACTGTACCCCATCCTGCCCCATGGGGCTGGTGCAGGGGAGGTTCTGGGGAAGGTGCAGCCCCCTCCCCAAACTGGTGCACGGAGGCAGGAGGGAGCTGTGCCAGGGCATCTGTCCCCTGCCAGTGGCCTGACCTGGGCAGGGGTGAGGGTGGTGGGTGGGGGGGGCTCAGGCTTGGCGGCGGGGAAGGGGGGCTTGGCAATCCTGTACAGGATGTTCTGGGAAATCCTCCTAACGCCCGACTGAGAAAGGGCTAAACCCATTACCAGGCCTGGGCCAAATGGCCAGAGCTAAAGCCACGGCGGCAGGGGATTAACGTGCCTGCCAACCCCCCAGCTCAGCCCCATGCCCTGGGGTGGCCTCGGGAACCTGGGCAGCTGCTGCTGCCAGGGGTCTCTGGGGTGGTCACCCCCATGCTGGCACCTCTCTGCCTCCCTAGGAGCTCCTGGAGCCCCCAGCCCCATGTGCCAGGGGAGGTGGGCGCCGTGTGGAGGCTTCAGGATCACAGTGGCATCCGTGAGGGCCCCCACGCCTGCCACCAGGGTGGGACACACACGCACAGAGCTGCGTGCACTCGCGTGCACACACCTGCAGGAGCACACACGTGTGCACGGCTGTGTGTGTACACACACAGCTACAGAGCTGTGCTGGTGCAACACTTACACACATGCACACCCCCAGAGGTGCCCACACAGGTGCCCACCCTCCTGCCGGCACAACGACGCATGCTCACAGCACCACCCTCCCCTTACCCACCCTGACCTCAGAGTGCCCCTTGCCCCCAGAATGAGTTCCCCCAACACTGCACTGCAGCAACCATGGGATGAGGGGTCCCACGGCAGGTCCTGACATTGGGCTCTGCTTTCCCCAGGCATCTCCCCCACTGTGAAGAAGACAGAGATGGACAAGTCCCCCTTCAACAGCCCATCACCCCAGGACTCCTCACCCCGCCTGAGCAGCTTCACGCAGCACCACCGTCCCGTCATCGCTGTGCACAGTGGTGAGTGTCCTGCCAGGGAAACTGAGGCACAGAGTGAGCGCTGTGCTGTCGGGGGGCTGGGGCAGCCACTAGCTAGTGACACAGGTGCGTGTCCCCTTCTGCTGCCACCCGCAGGTATCGCCCGAAGCCCGCACCCATCGTCTGCGCTGCATTTCCCCACCACCTCCATCCTTCCCCAGACGGCCTCCACCTACTTCCCGCACACGGCCATCCGGTACCCGCCTCATCTCAACCCGCAGGACCCGCTCAAAGATCTCGTCTCGCTGGCCTGCGACCCGTCCAACCAGCAGCCCGGACCGGTAAGGACGCAGCCGTGTCCGTGGGCACCGGGGGCTGCTGCCAGCCGGGCTGCCCGAGGAGAGTCCCGTGAACCGGCGCCGCCGCCGCCGCCTCTGCCGCCGCACGGGGGTCGGGGTTTTCTGGTGTTCTCTGGGGCTGAGCTCAGCCGTGCCGTGCGTCGGTTTGGGAGCGCTGCTGTGCCTGCTGGTGTTGGCACCTCGTGTCTGCAGCATGGAGGTGCTGTCCCCCGGCCCAGCACGGGGCACTGCGGGTGTTGGGGCGCTGGGGCTGAGCCGTCAGTCGGTGTCAGGGTGTTGGGGGAGAGCAAGGTGTCTGCCAGGGGTGTGTGACCGTCTCCTGGAGTCACCACCCGCCAGTGTGTCTGGGAGAGTGATGGGCTTGATGTGCCCCATCCACCTGCAGAGTCCATGGGTGACCCGTCAGCTCCTCTGGAGCTGTACCCATGTCCCCATTGTCTCCACAGGGGTGGCAGAGCCACACTGTGCTGCTGTGGGCCTTCCCCTGACACAGTGCCCTGCACCCCCAGGCACCCAGTGCACCCCACAGACATGGTACCCCACACATCCCACACGCCCCATGCTCCCATCACCAAACAATCTCTGTCACCAGCACCGTGCACACGCAGCACCCAGTGTGTGCAGCACCCAAACCATCACCTCATACACCCAGAGCACATCCAAACCATCACTCAGAGCCCCCAACACACAACACACCCCGCACCACCAGCACCTCACACACTCCATGAAAGGCACCCTTCATACCCAAAGCCAGAGCCTGGGAGTGTTCCTGCTCCCATACTGTTCTGTGCCCCTCTTTGTCCTCCCAGCTGCAGAGCTCTTGGGGAGCCCCTCTGACCTCTGCCCACCACTTTCCCGTTTCCCCTCACCAGCAGGGGCTGATGCCAGGGTGAGGGGCATGGCCACTGTTCCCTGTGCAATGGCTCAGTGCTGGCCCAATGGACACCAGAACAGGAGCAGCCCACGGGCATGGAGCACTGGTGCAGGAGCCTTTGGAGGCTCTGGGTGCCCCTACCCCTCCAGGGAGTGCTTCAGGGACCCCCCCTGTCACTGAGAGGGGTCCCAGCTCCAGCGTGCGCCACTGTGGGTGATGTCCCCCATGGAGCATGGCCTCCACAGTCCCCCAAATCCCGCCTGTCCCGCCGTCATTTCCTGCCTGCTGCCACCGCCGACCGTTCAGGGCTGCTCTGAGACCTACCAAACTCATGTCCGCAGTGAGGGACACCCACCCCGTGCCTGTGCCGGGGGTGTCCCCGGGGCTCCCCGGCCGTGCTGGTGCATCCTAATGGCTTGTGCTGTTTGTTTTTTGTCTGTGTTGTCCCCAGTTAAATGGAAGTGGTCAAGTGAAAGTGCCCAGCCACTACCTGCCCACGCAGATGCTGGCGCCGCCACCTCCCCCCGGCATGCCCCGCTTGGCCGTCTCTCCTGACACCAAATCCACCACGACAACTTCCGAGGGAGGGACGACCTCGCCGACATCACCCAGTAAGCACCCGCGGCGCCCACCCTGCTCCCCGGCCCGGCTGGCCCCCTCCTCCCGCAGCCCCCCAGGGTGTCCCCCTGTCCCGGGGCTGGGGGGATGTTGGCGGAGGTGGCCTCCCCGCAGCCGGGGAGAGGGTGGCAGCTGGCACGCCATGAGTTTGCTGGGTCTCAGGCAGGTCGGAGCGGACAGGCTTTGGGCAGGTGGCTGCTGTGGCCACTGAGCCAAGGGGTTGTGTGCTGGTCCTGGGGACCAGCTCGAGCCCCTTGTCCCTCTTGAGCATGAGTGGAGCCGTGGCAGGGCTCTCCAAACCAGTGTCCTGCCCAGCCCCTCGGTGTGGGCAGTGCCGTGGGGAAGGCCATGGCCTCTCCACCTCCGTTTGTCCCAGCATGGCTGTGCTGCCGGGAACGGGGAGCAGCTGGCACGCGGGTGGCACTGGGACTAGGGACAGTGTGCCTGGTGTGTTGTGTGGGCTGTCGTGCTCTTGTTGCCATGGGGGTCCTGGGTCCTTGGCGCCGGGGATTCTGCTCTTGTTGGGGGTGTGAGGTGACACCAGAGCAGGGACTGTGTGTGGGTCCCCCAGAGCCCTTGGCAGGTGGCACCTGGGATTTGTTACCACGGTGGCTGACAAATTCTTTGCCGTCCCCTCCACCTCAGTGGCCATAAGTGCCTTGGCCAGCAGGGTTTTGGGTGCTGGGCCCAACAGCCAGAGGGGAGCTGGTATCACCCCAGACTGGCACGGGGGTGTGTGCTGCAGTGGTGGGACACTGTGCCGTCGCCACACTCTGCGAGGGGCTTGTTCCTGTTCCCGTCCTGCTGTACCCATGGGACATGGTACCCCAAGTGTCTGCTGTGTCCCCACATGGTCAAACCCTGCCTGACTGAGCCATTGTCCCTGGGTAATGGGCCATGGCTGATTGCCAGCAGCTGGTCAGCAGGTGTGGAGATCCCATGGCATGGAGAAGCCAAAGCCTGGACAATCTGGAGGGGACAGCATGGGATGGCCTGGCTGATAACGGGATCACAGCATTAGGGAGGGACATAGGAGTGCAAGTTCCTGCAGGCTCAGGGAAGGAGGACGCTGGCTGTCCCCAAGGGGTGCAGCTGGCTTCAAACCCCCATTCCCCTTGGCAGCACTCTGCTTCCAGCTGAACCCAGGGCTGAACCCAGAAGCTCAGCAGGACTGAAGGTCCCACTGCTGCATCCCCAGCTGAGGGATGGAGGTGGCAGCAGGGAGACGTGGCCAAGTGGATGTGGTGGCTGCCAGTTCCAGAAGCCACAGCGCGGGCACAGCCAGGGGCACCATCTGCGCCTGCCCCCCGGGGCACCTCGCCCCTCCAGCCTCAGCGATCGCCCCGAAAGCACGGGTGGCACCGTCTGAACACGGCAGCCCTGGCTGCAGCACCCCTGGGCTCCATTCGCCTGCCAGCAGGTCACAGCCAGGGACGTCGCCTGGTCGCCAGCACCGGGTGCCAGGGAGCTCCATGCCATCAGTGCCAGGGAGAGGGCCGGGCCTGGCCCCTGGGGGGACAATGGCAGTGCCACCCGCAGCCCCGTTAATGAGCTCTCATTTGTTCCCCAGCCTACTCTGCACCAGGCACGCCCCCTGCGAACCGTTCCTTCGTGGGATTAGGACCAAGGGATCCTGGGAGTATCTATCAGGCACAGGTGAGAGCGGGGATGCTGCTGGGGGGACCCTCCTGCCCTCGCCCCGGGCACCCTCACCATGGCATCACCGTGGGCATTGCCGTGGGCATGTCCTGGCATTGCCGTTGTGGCTGTCACTGACACGACATTGCTGGCGTGGGCTCCCCGCCATGGTGCCACTGCTGTGGCATCGCTGCTGTGGCATCACTGCCGTGGCATCGCTGCTGAGGGCATTGCCACCATGGCATCACTGCCGTGGGCATTGCCACCATGGCACCACCGCCGTGGCATTGCTGCCATGGTTATTGCTCCTCTGGGCATTGCTGCTGTGGGCACTGTAATGGGTATCGCCACTGTGGCACCGCTGCCGTGGGACATTGCTGCTGTGGATGTAACCTCTGTGGCCATTGGTGCTGTGGCCTTGCCACCATGTCTGTGGCCACGAGGAGTATCACTACAGCAGTGGCATCACCACTGTGGGCATTGCCACACTGGCCTGGCCACTGCAGATGTTGTGGACATCCCCGCCATGGCACTACTGCCATGGGTGTTGCTGCTGTGGGCAATGCCACTGTTGTGTATGTCACCACTGTGGGGTTAGTTCCATGTACAACCCATGGCATCACCACCATGGCATTGCAGCTCTGGCACTGCCACTGCCAGCTTTGCTGCTGTGAGCATCACTGCCTTGGCATCACTGCTGCGGCCCGTGGACATTGCTGCTGTGGCATCCTCACTACGGGCACCCAGTGCCAGGGCTTTAGGCACTGCTGGTGGCTCAGGGCCATCACGAGTCCTCCATCGTAGAGGGAGATCACTGCCCTGCTCTGGCTGCGTCCTGCCTGGCACCACCTGGCACCACCCTGCCTAGGTGCCCAGAACATCACCAAAGGAGCAGCACCAGGGCCATGGGTCCCTCTCTGCGTGGCTGTGGGCACTGCTCTCGCTTGGCTGTGCCCGTGGCCACTCCAGCTGCAGTGGGAGGTTGTGTGTGCCCTCCTGGATTCTTGAACCGGCGCTGGTGCTGCAGGCAGTGCCACGGTGCCAAGGCAGGAGTGGCAGCTTCTGGCCTCACTTGTGACACGAGTGCTCTGGCCTCAGCATTCCCTGCAGGGGCAGCTGCAGCCTTGCCTGGCAGGTGACACGGGTGACAGGACAGAGGGATGGGGTGTGGACGGTGCCGTGTTGGGGCACCCTGGGGTGCTGCCCTGGCTGGGGGGGAGTACTCGGGGTGCTGTGCTGTGCCGGGGTGTGGGCACTGGGGCTGTGAGCAGTGACACAGGGTACCTGGGGGTGCTGTGCTGTGCCAGGCTGTGAGATTTGGGAATCACGAGCTGGGACACCCGAGGGTGCTGTGCCGTTCCAGAAGAAAAACACGGGGGACCCGGCTCTGATCACACCCCCCACTCTGCTTCAGTTTCCCCATTTCTGCACATGGGGTGGGCAGCACCCTGAGGGCCTTGGGTCCCTAAGGAGGAGACCTGGGGCAGCACCAGGAGAACCTTGGAGGAGCAGGGGGCCAGAGTCCCTGCGAATGGGTGTTCCTAGTCATGCCTGGGGACGTTCGAGGATGCTCTGCCTGGGGAAACTGAGGCACGGGGAAAGGAGGTGCTGTCCCAGAAGGGTCAGCTGAGACCTGCCACACTCTGGTCATGTGTGGCGGGGCCTGGAAGGGTTAAGGGAAGCAGCGGCCCCGAGCTGTCTCGTTTCCAACGGAAACCAGACATGAGGTAATCGGGAATGAACTTGAACTTGGGGCTGGGGGGGAAACAATGGGAGGGTGGCAGGGGGCCACCTCGCGGGGTCCCCAGCCGTGCACCCCCATACCTGTCCCCAGGCGGCACCACTCCTTGGCGAGGGTCTCCCTTTGCCGTGAAGGTGCAGAGCGGAACGCGGGTGGCGGAGGACGGACAAACTCAGCACAGGAGTGGGGACGCCAGCCCCGGGACAGCGCGGGGACAGCGCGGGGACAGCGCGGGGACAGCGCGGGGACAGCGCGGGGATGGCTGTCGCGGCTCTGGGGACCGGCGGGAGGACGGGGCAGCTCCGGGGGCAGAGCACTAACGCCGCCTCTCTCCTCTCCTCTCTCCCGCAGTCCTGGTACCTGGGATAACCGCCGCCGTGCCGCCCCTTCGCCTCCCTTCTCCTCTGCTTTAGGCACCCCCAGAGGAACATCCCCGTCCCCGAGCACCAGGCCCAGCCTTGCGGTGACGACGGAGAGCGCGGCCTCACCACGACGACGACGACGACGACGACAAGCAAAACCCACACCCGAAGGGAAAGGAAGAAGGAAAAGGGTCAAACTGTTTTAAAATGGAAAAAAAAAAAAAAAACAAACCAACCAAACCCACAAACAAACCAACAACCCATCCCAGGAGGACCTTTTCCCCCCACCCCGGCGATGCGCCAGAAAACAAAGAAACAGGACAAAAAAAAAGAAAGAAAAAAACACTATTATTTACCCCGTGGGCCGGCGCCGCGCTGAGACCTGACACCAGCGGTGCCAGCAAAGCCTCCCGGAGCGGCCGCAGCGCCGCTCGCCCCATATGCAAACGGCTTCGAGTCTCTCCTTCTCGCCTCCTGTGAGTAAAACACATCCAACCTCCCCCGCCGACCCCCCGGCCCCGGACTGCGGCGGCCCCGGGGCTGGGCTGGGCTGGGAGCGGCAGCTCCGCGGTGGGTGACACCCCGGGCACGGTGGCATCGTGCTGCGGGGACACGGTGACGGTTACGCGGTGGCACCGAGCGGGTGGCACAGGAGGAGGGGGTTTGTGACCGCAGAGGGTGCGTGGGCACGGCCAGAGATGGTCGCGGCGGCGGTGGCACCCAGGTTCCCGCACGGACACGGTGTCGGGACTCTCCCACCACGGCCCCGAATGTCACAGCGGCGGTGGCACCCCGATTCCATCGGGGTCGCAGCACGGGGACTGTCGCAGCCCGGCAGCCACCGTCGCGCCGAGGCACTGTCACCATCTCTCTGATCGCCTTTCTCCCCCAAGCCTGCACCGGGCCGAGCCCCATGTGTCCCCACGCGTGTCCCCACCCGTGTCCCTGTGTCCCCCGCGTGTCCTTGAGGGGGTTCGCGGGGCTGGGGGGGAGTGGGGGGCGTGCGTCCGTGTGTTTGAGCTATGCATTCCTGTGGACAGGTACCAGGTGGGAGGCAGGGTGCGCTCGTGTTGCACATTTTGTAGGAAATGCACTTTTAAGAGGGAATCATCAAAAGGAAAAAAAAAAAAAAAAAGAAAAAGAAGAGAAAAGAAAAGAAAACAAAATCACAAAAAAAGGAAGAAGAGGAAGAGGAGGACGAGGAGGTGGAGTCCCCGGCACCGGCTTGCCGGGACGGCTAGTTTGGGGTTTTTGGGTTTGGTGGTTTTTTTTTTTTTTTTTTGGGTTTGGTTTTTTGGTTTTGGTTTTCGGTTTGTTTTTTTTTTCTTTTTTTTTTTTTTTTTTGGATACAAAAGGATGGAGCAAAGAAACCCGAGCGACGGCGAGGGCAGAGCCAGCCCCCCCCGGAGCCCCTCGAAGTCCCCTGGAGTCCCCCGGAGCCCCCGGCCCCGCGTCAAGTGCCTGAACTGCGGCGGGGAGGGGTCCCGGACCCCCGGAGGAGCCCCCGGCCGGGGCAGCGCGGGGGGAGCGCTCGGTGGCCCCGTCCCGTGCGGTGACAGCGTGGCCGGGAAGGGGACAAGGGGACGTGGCAGTGCCTTAGAGCAGAGGGACCCCCGCGACAGCCGAGGCGAGGAGGAGGAAGAGAATGAATCCCCAGCGAGATGAGTCTGGTGCCCAAAGGATCTCCAGCCCGGGAACACCCGATGGGTGGTGATGGAGAGAAGCCGCCGTGGGATGTCCAGGAGATGGGAATGTCACCGAGGCCACCGTCGCCACCCGCCTGGCACCATCCCCTGGCACCCAGAGCCGCCCCGAGGACCACCGGCATCACATCCCGCCCCGCTTCCCATCCCCCCGGGACGGCACAACGAGACACCGCGGAAAGGGCTGACGCAGGAAATCCCGGGAGATAGAAAAATAATAAAAAAGGACAAGAAAAGGAGCAAAACCCACCCCAAAAAAAAAAAAAAAGAAAAAGAAAAACAACAACAAAAAAAAGCGCTTGGCGGAGAGGGAAACCTTTTTTTAAAAAAAAGATCTGAGAAAAGAAACACATAAAAAAAGACAAAAAGACAAAAAAAAAAAAAAAAAAAAAGACAAATAAACTGCATGGTGCTTTAACAGGATCTGGTGACCTGGCTCAACCCAGCCGCGGCTGGCTGATGCTGTGCATGGCAGACTCTTATTAACCGGCTCTACCTTCCCCTTCAGCAAAAGAGAAAAAAAAGAGGAAAAAAAAAAAACAAAAAAATCTGTATAAAAGAAAAAAAAAAAGCCGTAAAAAAAACTACACAAGAAAAAAAAAAATCCATGTTTTCCTAATTTGCACGAAATTTTATACCACATGATGTGCCTTGCCTTCGAAGCCTAAGTATTACTGGAGCCGATATCAGTGCGAGGGAGTCGCTGCATGCCCGGGGCTCCCGGGGGACGGGGGGGCCGGGGGCCGCTGCCCCCCCCGCCTCCTGCATGGCTTCTTCTCGGCCGGAAAAGTCCCTTTTTCTCTCTATTCTTCTTCTTTTTTAGCCGATTTTCCCCCTCAGAAACGTCTTCCAGTTGGTAATACCGATGCATCCTCTGCGCCAACACACCGGAATATGCAATAGCTGTTGGGGGGGCCGGCCGGGGGGGCGGCCACCCCTTTGCTTTGCCTCTCTTCTTTTTGTTTTCCTTCCCTTTTGGGGGGTTTTGATTTGGTTTTTTTCTGCTTCCAGCAACCAAAGGCAGCGAGGCGGGAGGCGGCAGGGACCCCCGGGCCTGAGAACCACAGAGCTCGGGGGGGACGCAGCGGCCGGGGGCGGTGGGGCTGAGCTGGGCTGGAGACCCCCGGGGATGGATGGAGACCCGCGGGGATGGAGACCCGCGGGGATGGAGACCCCCGGGGATGGATGGAGACCCCCGCGGGGATGGAGACCCCCGGGGATGGATGGAGACCCGCGGGGATGGAGACCCCCGGGGATGGATGGAGACCCCCGGGGATGGATGGAGATCCCCGGGGATGGAGACCCGGGGGATGGAGACCCGCGGGGATGGAGACCCCCGGGGATGGAGACCCCCGGGATGGAGATCCCACTTTGGGCACCCCCACTTTTTAATTGGTGTTTAACAGGAGGGCTGAGCCCGGCTGCTCCCGTGCCAGGAATGGAACCGTGTGAATGTAGCTGTGCCCCCCCAGCTGGGCTGGTGTCGGGGGGTCACAGCCTCCCCCCCACCTCCCCCCACCTCCCCCCCATCGGCTCCATCCCCGGGGTCCGGCTGGCGCGGCAGGGAGCGGCAGGAGGTGCCTTCTTGCGCCTTTCCCTGCTGTGCCCGCTGCCCAACAGGGGCCCGACACCCCCTGAAAACCCCGAATTTGCCTTAAAACCCCCGCGTTCTGCCGGCTGAGAGACCCCCCGAGCTCGCTGAGGCTGAGAACTGACGCGGGTTGTGACACCGGTGGGCGGGTGGCACTGGCACCGCTGCTGCTCGGGCATGAAGAAACGTCGTCGTCAACAGTTTTTAATTTTTGTTTGGTTGGTTGGTTGGTTTTGTTCTGTTTGTTGGTTTGTTTTTTTTTTTTCTTTTCTTTGTTTTTTTTGGTGTCCAAAAGTATTAATGGGGGATGACGGGGTGGTCGCGTCCCGCCGGGTTTCACCCACAGTTGAGGCTGGTTTGAGGGTCCCAGACCCCTGGGGGGAGCCTTGGGAGACGCTTCTTTATGCAAGGTGCAGTATTGATTTCTGCAAGGACAATGCAAGGAGGGAGTGGGGGCGGCGTCCAGCTGGGGGGGGGTGGGGGGGGGCAGGAATGAAAAATAGAATTAAAAGAAAAGTGGAAAAAGAATTTTTAAAGAAGGGGGAGACATTTTTTAAAAATAGAAAAACAAAAAAAAAAAGGAAAAAGGGGGGGTTAAGGCTGGAAAAGGCTCAGCTCAAAGCAAAAAATATTAAAAAAAAAAGAAAAAAAAAAGCATTTCTAAACGGTGACAGTGACAGCGGAGGGAGGGAGCGGGGGACACCGGGCAGCCCCTTCGGCCAGCCCCGGGGAGGCGAGGGGCGCAGGCGCCCCTCGGGCCTGGGTCCGCCGCCCCGAGGAAGCCCCGGAGCCCCCCGGTCCCCGCGGGGACCCCACCGGGACCGTCCCCTGCCCCCCTTTGCTGCCTCCCCACCCCCGGGCCGGCTGCAAGTCCCAAAACCCGCCCTCGGCAAGAAAAGCACCTTAAACCAAATTCAAAAAAGGCAAAAAAGAATCGACTCGACGCCCCCCAGCACGTCGGGCGGCACCGGGGGGACGTGCCGGGGGTTCCCCCTGCGGGGCCGGGAGCCCCCCGTGCCCCCGGGGTCTTTGCACTGCGCCCCCGACACCCCCGGGGCGCCCCCGCCTCTCCCAAAGGGAATATGCAACACCCCCGCTCCCTCCGCGGGGAGGGGGCACCACTCATTTTTATTATTTCTAGTTTTTTAATCATTCTCCCTTCTTTTTTTTTATCTTCTCGATGGCCACGGTCGGGGTGAGCGCAAAGGCGGGTGGAGACCACCCCCATCCCTGGGGAAGCTCCGGGGGGAGTCCCGCAGGATGGGGATACGAGGGGGCTCCGCTCGACAATCACCGCGGGGGTTTCATGCACTACAGTCTCTCCTAGAGGGTTTTTAGTCGGGCTCGTCGGCTTAAAAATTTTAATTAAAAATAGTCCTTGTGACCTATAAATAAAACAAATAACCTGTACATATATATATATATATATCTCCACATATATATATATGGGGCTGCAGGGCCGGGGGGGGGCGCGGGCCCCCACACAGTTAAGGTACTTTAAATCACAAAGGAATATATATATATATATATATATATATATATATAAAATCTCATACATACATATATATATATATATATATATATATATATATGTATGTCTTGTTTGGTGGGGTTTGGTCTTTTTCTTTTTTTTTTTTTTTAATTTTTATTTTTGTTTGGTTCTGGTTTTGTTTTGTTTTGGTTGGTTTTTGGGTGTTTTTTTTTGTTGTTGGGGTTTTTTTTTTTTTTTTTTTTTTTTTTTTTTTTTTTGTACTCGGAGTTTGGAATTTGCTGCTTTCTGCCCCCCCCCGGGTATCCCGCCACTGGCTGGGATGGGTGCCCCCGGTGATGGGTGCCCCGGGAGAGTCCCATGGGTGACCCTCTGGGTCCTCTGAGCGTTGCCCGTGAGTATCACTATGGGTGCTCCAGGTGATACCCATGGGTGCCACACTGGGCGCCTATGGGTGCTCCTGTGGGTGTCCCCTGGGCGCGCCGGGTGATGCCCATGGGTGCTCCTCTGGGTGCTCCAGGTGATGCCCACGGGGGCCTCTCTGGATGCTCCAGGTGATGCCCACGGGTGCTCCTCTGGATGCTCCAGGTGATGCCCATGGGTGCTCCTCTGGGTGCCCCAAGTGATGCTCACGGTGCCCGCAGGGTGCCCCGAGCAATCCCCACCGCTGCCCCTCCGGGTGCCCCGTGCGATGCCCACGGGTGCCCCGGGGCAGGCGGGAGGTGGAGCCGGGCTTAGGGGAAATCCCCCTCGTGGGCAAAGAGCGGCAAAAGGACAGAAACCGCCCCAAAAAGGCGCCGAGGCGGCACCGGCCGGACCGCGCCTCTTCCCAAACCAAAAACGCCGCCGCAGTGCCTCCGCGCCGCCGGCTGCCCGCCCGCCTTTTGGGGCTCCCCGCCCGCCTTTTGGGGCTCCCCGGGGCCGGGCTGCCCCTCCCGCACTTATATTTTACTCGTTCGTTCGCCGGATTCTCGCTTCGCTTCGCCGCAGCCGATCCACACCGCGGGCGCGCATCACCCCCCGAGCCCCGCTCGCCTCCCCGGTGCTTCACGATATTTGATTATACCATTGTACGCAGCCATTACCGATAGCGCCGCTCCTGCCTACATACATACTGACCCTGATACGGATTTTGGGGGTTTTTTTTTTGTTTTCTTTTTTTTTTTGTTTGTTTTGTTTTGTTTTGTTTTCCCCCTTTTTTTTTTTTTGTTGTTGTTGTTGTTCCCCCCCCCTCCCCTATGCAAAAAAGAGAAAAAAGAGACAAAAAAGAAGAAAAAAACAAAAAAGAAAAAACTGACACACAAAAAAAAGATTAAAAATTAAAACAAACAAAAAAAAAGACCAAAAAAAAAAATGTATAAAAATTAAACAAGCTATGCTTCAACTCCAGCTCGCCTCCGCCCTTCCTTCACTGCCCCGGGGAAACTGAGGCACGGTCCCCAAGCGGGGACAACGCGGGTGTCCCAGCGGGGGAGGAGGGCACGGGGGCACTGCAGCGGGCACCCAGCACCCAGAGGAGGGACCCCCACCCATGGGTGCCCTTGCCCCGGAGAGGAGGGTGACAGAGCTGGGAGCCCGCAGGGCTGTGGGGACAGGGAATGGACATTGGGACAGGGAATGGACATTGGGACAGGGAATGGACACCTGGGACAGGGAATGGACATGTGGGGACAGGGAATGGACATTGGGACAGGGAATGGACATTGGGACAGGGAATGGACATGTGGGGACAGGGAATGGACATTGGGACAGGGAATGGACATGTGGGGACAGGGAATGGACATTGGGACAGGGAATGGACATGTGGGGACAGGGAATGGACATGTGGGGACGGGGAATGGACATTGGGACAGGGAATGGATATGAGGGACAGGGAATAGACATGTGGGGACAGGGAATGGACATGAGGGACAGGGAATGGACATTGGGACAGGGAATGGACATTGGGACAGGGAATGGACATGTGGGGACAGGGAATGGACATGTGGGACAGGGAATGGACATGTGGGGACAGGGAATGGACATTGGGACAGGGAATGGACATGTGGGGACAGGGAATGGACATGTGGGGACGGGGAATGGACATTGGGACAGGGAATGGATATGAGGGACAGGGAATAGACATGTGGGGACGGGGAATGGACATTGGGACAGGGAATGGATATGAGGGACAGGGAATAGACATGTGGGGACAGGGAATGGACATTGGGACAGGGAATGGACACGTGGGGACAGGGAATGGACAGGAGGGGACAGGGAATGGACATTGGGACAGGGAATGGACATTGGGACAGGGAATGGACATGTGGGACAGGGAATGGACATGTGGGACAGGGAATGGACATTGGGACGGGGAATGGACATTGGGACAGGGAATGGACACGTGGGACAGGGAATGGACATTGGGACAGGGAATGGACATGTGGGGACAGGGAATGGACACGTGGGGACAGGGAATGGACATTGGGACAGGGAATGGACATGTGGGACAGGGAATGGACATTGGGACAGGGAATGGACATGTGGGACAGGGAATGGACATGGGGACAGGGAATGGACATGGGGACAGGGAATGGATATTGGGACAGGGAATGGACAATGGGACAGGGAATGGACATGAGGGACAGGGAATGGACATGGGGACAGGGAATGGACATGGGGACAGGGAATGGACATGAGGGACAGGGAATGGACATGTGGGGACAGGGAATGGACAGAGCTGCTGCCACTTCCTCTGCTTCAGATCTTGGCCACGGGACGTCACCACCTCATGCGCCTGACGTCACCGTCTGGCGGTGTGACGTCACTGTCGTCACCCGTGGGTCAGCATTGGCCGAAGCTGCGCTTCACCCCCGCGCTGCCCACGGTCCCTGTCCCCAAGAACTGCTCAGGGCGAGGTCCCCCACCCCCCTCGGGGCTCGCCAGCCCCCCGTGTCACCTCAGTGCCCCCCCTCGGTCCGGGCTTGGAACTTGCCCTTGTCCCCTGCCCGAGTGGCACCCAGGGGTGCCGGACAGCCCCTCCCCCGCACGGTGACACGACACGCTTGACGCCGGGGTGGGCTGGGGAAAGCTTTAGTGGGCACGTCTGGGGAGGGGACTGTCCTTGTCCCCCCGGGCCGGGGCTGGGGGACAGGGCAGGCGCCGCTGCCGCCGCCCTCCCCGCTCCGCTCCGGCGAGCGGCTGATCGACGCCGGGTTTTGGTCGCAGCCGGGCCGGCCGCGGGCGGGAGGTGCCACGGTGGCCGCGGCTGTCGCCAAAACCCGGCGCGGATCTGCGTCCCGCGGACGGGGTGAGGGCGCGGTGCCCGTCAGAGGCGCTCCGGAGCGGGTGAGGGGTGCGGGGGGGCTCAGAAGGACGTGGCCTTGTTCTGCTGCCTGTCGTAGCTCAGCTCCTCCCAGTCCTCAGCCGCCTGGTTGACGTGGCTGGAGCGCCCCAGCCTGCGGGGGAAGGGAAGGTCGGTCAGCCGGGCACTGCACCGGGCACTGCACCGGGCACTGCACCGGGCACTGCACCGGCACTGCACCGGCACTGCACAGGGGGAACGTGACCGCCCTCCAGGGATCGGATCCCCGCGCAGCCGGGCTGCGGTACCTGTCGGTCCCCAGAGTCTCCGCGTGGTCCTTCTCCTTCCTGCGAGGGGACAGAGGCTGAGCGGTGCCCGGGGACAGCCCTGCCCCAGCCCACGGCAATCTTCCACGCAGTTTTCCCCTGGCCAGCACCCCCCGCCCCCCACACCGATCCAACCTCTTCTTCCTGAGGCTCCAGAGCCGGTTAACGAGCAGCACCACGAAGACGAAGAAGAGGAAGACGACAACGACCGTGAGGCCAATGAGCCACGGCTGCAGCACCTTGGGGCCCGTGCCTGCATGGCCAGGGGACAGGCAAAGGGAAAGACAGGGATGGAGACAGCTTCAGGGGGGCTCTGTCCTCCAGGGGATGGGACATTGGCACTCACTGTTCCCTCTTCCCAGTGTCCCTTCGGTACCAAGGAAACCACTCCCGACACAGCTCACCTGTCCCCAGTGCAGTGGGGAGCACTGGGACAGCAGGTGGCTGTCTCCAGATCTTTCTGCTCTGCCCTTAAAAGTTACTGTTGGAGCACTGGGACAGACTGGTCCCACTGGAAAGGTCTCCCAGGAGCTGATCTGATGCCTGCGGGGGGGCCTGGCCACCTCCCCAAGCACCCCAGGGCACAGAGGGTCACAGGGGCACCTACCAGCCTGTCCCTGGGCGGTGGAAGCGAGGACGAGCAGGACCAGGAGCGAGAGGGGCTGCAGGAGCTTTGGCATTTTTGGGCGCAGGGCTGGGGCACGTCTGGATCCTGCTCCTGGAGGTGAGCTTCTGCCACCTGCTGCTATTGTGCTTGCACTCTGCACCCAAGGCAACGGGCACCTTTATTGGCCCCAAGAGGACAAAGTGGCACCGAGCACCATGGCAATGGGACTCCTGTCACCCCGGCACGTGGCACCACTCCCCTGGCACAGGCCACCACTTCCAGGGGCACAGCAGTAAAGGACAGGCATGTCCCTGTGCCCAGGACTGGGCAGGTGGATGGAGGGACAGACAGACAGGTGGGCAGGTGGGTGCAAGGTGAAGAACAGATGGCTGAAGAAGTACCCGCCCTGCCTGGTTCCCCCTGTTCCCTGCTGGCAGGGCTGGCGCAGATCCCATGGGAATGGGGTGCCACAGAGGGGTGGGCAATGCCAGGCCACCCCCAGCCCTCCCCTGGGCACAAGCCAGCTGCCCCCAGACAATCCCAGGTGGGACCCCATCATGTCCTCAGGGAGTGTGTGCCTACATACTGCCAAGAGTGAAATACTCACAGATTACCTCAGGGAGACCATGGCAGGGTGCCCACCCACCAGGGCACAAGGAAAACTGAGGCAGAGGGTGGCCACCAGCACCCCAGGGAGGGACAGTGGACTTTGGCAGGGCCACCCTGCCTGTGGCAATTCCTCAAGGGGTGAAGGTGACTGGGGGCACAGGGATCCAGCCTCAGCCTGGGTTAAAGACAGGGGCTGCAGGTCCATAAAAAGCCCTCATGCTGTGCCCTCACCCAGAACCCAAGGGAGGCTTCAGGGTGCTTTGTCCCCCCAGACTAGTTTGGGGCCACCTCTGGGTGCCACTGAGCATGGTCTGGCAGTGCCAAGGCACTGAGGGGGTGGTGGGGGCACACCAGTCTCAGCATCCAGCTGTCCATCCATCAGTCCCGACCCCTGTGCCCACACTGACTTGGCATCAAGGATCCCGAGAGGGGGATCCATTTTCCCCTGTGCACATGTCCATGCCCCCTGCCCCCACGGGCTGTACCCCCACCCCATGGCTTTGCACCCCCAAGCACCCCCCTTTACACACCCATGGCTGTGCCAAGGGGTGCTCCTACCCCAGGCAAAGTTGGGATGCCCCAGCCCTGCCACCCCCGCACTGTGCCGGGCCAAGGGGCGAGCAGGGCTGGGGCAAGTGGCTTTATTGGCATGACAGCCCAAGAGGAGCCCCAGAGCAGCACTAGGGCTGGGCAGGGAGGGGGAGGCTGTGTGCCAGCGCTGGGCAGTGCCTATGGCCAGGGCCATGCCATGACCCAATGGTCAGGCAGGGCTGCAGGGTCCAGCTGGTGGCAGGGGTGTCCCCTGACCCTAGAAGAACCTCTTCTTCTTGGGGGAGTCGGCAAAGGAGACGGAGCTGCGTGGAGCGAGCAGCTGCAGCGGGATGTCCGTGCCGGGCAGGATGCTGCTGCCTTCATCCTCCACCTTCTGCTCCACCAGCACCTCGTCCTTCTCCAGCCACTCTGCCTCTGGGCCTTCGGCCATCCCTGCCTTCTCCTCCGGCTTGGGCCCAAAGGCCCAGTCTGCAGGGGCAGAGACGGAGCTGTCAGCAGCACCAGCCCCACCGCAGCACAGCCTCAGGCGGGGGGACCCCCCGGCTCCCTGCCCACCCCCCAGCCCGACCCCGCTGGGGGCAGCACTCACCAGCAAAGTCGTGCACCAGGTCCTTGATGAGGTGCCCTACGATGGCATATGCCACCACCAGCACCAGCGTTGCTGCCATCATCAGGTACAGGACGTGGCGGGGCAAGTGGATGCTGTCCAGGGCAGGGGGTTTGTAATCCACGTACAGCACCCCGTCCTCCTCAGGGGGGGACTGCAGCAAGCGCCGTGGCCCCCGTGTCCCCTCGGTGCCAGGGAGGGGAAAACCCCCCGCCAGGGCCATGCCAGCTACCCCTGCACCCCTCCTCAAACCCTGAAGCCTTTGCCTGCAGGGGGGAAGTGGCATCAAGGCTCCTCGGTGCTGGCAGCTCACAGGGACAGTGGTGTCCCCATGGCTGGTGGCAGTGCCACTCACCCACCGACAGAGCTGTGTTGCTGAGAAGGAGCTTAGCACCTGCTAATCCAGGCACAGCCTGGCTGCCTCAGCATGGGAGGTGACCAGTGGGCTCTGATGTGGGTCACGGTCCCCAAATCCTGCCCCTCTGGGAGCACCACTGGCACCCCTGTCCCCTGGGAGTGGGGAGTCACCTGCAGCTGGAGTACTCCCAAAGACAGGAATGGGGAGGGATGCCCGAGGTCTGTCCTCCCTCCCCTGGGCTGGGTTAAATCCCTCAGCAGGCCCCGGATCCCTGGAGCAGATGGCTGAGATCCCAGAGGACACAGCACCCTTGGAGCCGGAGGTCAGGGACAGAGGGGAGGGGGATGCAGCCTCAGCCACGGGGCCCCCACCCCACGGGGCCCCTCTGCTGTACAGGGGAGCAGCCCATGGCCAGAGGCTGCCACGTGTCACCCCAGCACCCAGTGTCACCTCCCCAGGGCAGAGCAGCCTGCAGGGGGGTGCTGAGTCCATGCTTCCCCCAAAAGCAATTCCCCCCACACCAAGAGGGTGGAGGTTTTAGCCCAGAGCAGCAGCAGCTTTGATGAAATCCCAAACACTTCCCAGCACAGCCTGAAGATGCTGGTGGAGCTCAGTGCCAAATCAAGGCTCAAGGCTGAGCCCTGCTCCAGTCCAGCACCTCCCAGCTCTGCTGCACCAGGTCATCCCTGCCCAGACCCCAGCCTCAGAAATGCTTTTTGTTCCAATTTTGTCTTAAAAGGTGTTGGGGGAACAGAGACAAAGGTTGGCAGAGAACAATCCTGCCAGGTCTGAGTGAGTCACCTGCGGAAAAGCTGGAGAGCAAAGGTGGGGGCACAGGGATACAGCCTGGTGATAAGTGGGGCAAACAGCCTGGCAAACTCCAGGGTGCTGGAGCCCAGTGCCAAGAAGGGAACAGTGGAAATGATAACGTGGCCTGGGGGAAGTCACCCATCTCACAGGGACAGCCCAGAGCCCAAAGTTCCAGCTGGGTCCTGCCCATCACCCAGGGGCTATGGAGGGTGAGGGAAAGAGGACAAGCAATCCACAACAGCTGCTGGCTCCAAACAGTGTGAAAGCATCAGATGTTTGTCCCCAGTGCTGGGGAAGATGTTTGTCCCCAGTCTGGAGCCCCTCACCCTCCCCATCGCATACAGGTGACCCCACAGCACTCAGGTACTTGTCACTGACTCTTAGTGTGTACAGGTGACCAAAACCGGTCACATCTTCACTAAGAGCCCTTTCCATGGGGTCCTGAACTGGGTAGGACTGGGCCATAGCCACTGCTGCCCCTTGGCTGTGGCCCTGAGCACCAGAGCCTAGGGGTGCCGACCTGGCTTCAGGGACTAAGAGGATTGAGCCTGGGAGTGACTCACAGGGAGCCCTTGGACAAAGGGAAAAGGTATTCCCAGCAGGATGCCAGGCCCTGTGGGACCTACCAGGGCACCTCAGACAGATCCTCCTCCTCCCCAGGGCTGGGGTTTCACCTCATGCCATCAGGGACCCCCCTCCCTGCTCCTCCCCAATGTAGCTGGACTCGATTTTAAAGGTCCTTTGCAATCTCAATGGTTCTATGACTTCATTTTGGCAGCCCCGAGGCTCCTGCCCATTGCTTGACCCCATGGCACTGGGTGCACTCCACACCTGGGCACAGGTAAATCACAGCTCGACTCACTCCAGCTTCCTGTGCCAGTGCTTTATTCCATGCCAAACCCCAAACCCCAGTGCCCAGGCTGGGCTGACTGAGGGATTTGGGTGCCAGCAGCAGCCTCAGCCCTCCTGGCCCTGGTTAAACACGGGGGAAAGCCCAGGCAGGCTCTGCCTCACCCTGTCCACCCTAATGGCAGCACCCTTCCCTGCAGAAAAAAAAGGAGCCGTATCTTCCCAACTTTGCCATGAAACAACCCCCATGCTGAGGCAGAGGCTGCCACAGGCTCAGCTCCAGCTTGTCCCAACAGGAGAAGCCAAACCCACTGCGCGGGCGAGGAGGGCCCCGGCTCAGCAACATCACCGAGAGCAATTTCGAAGCATCCTAACACCACAGCCCACAAGAGCGGGTGCCCAAAGCCCAGAATTGAGCTGCCAACACGGCAGCACCAACCCAGGGCAGGCCCAAGCCCTGCAGAGCCTCAGCAGGCTCTGACGTGCCAAGCAGAGCCCACCTGGTCCAAGCCCCAAGCCATGCTGATCCTGGCAGAGAAAAGCAGCAGATCCAGGAAACAGCGGCTGGCGAGGAGGAGCGGGGAGGCAAGTAGCAGCTCAGCCCGGATTTGGAGGGAAAAGGTGGTTGTAATTGTGCCAGAGATCAAACCCAGTCCCTCCTCCAGCTCTGCACAGCAGCACACCCACCTGAGCACCCCTGGAGCAGCTCAGGAGGAGCCCTGCAGCTTGCAGAGCCCGTCGGCGTACTGGAACTGGGCGCCGTTCTCGTACTCGTACATGTCCAGGGCCACCTGGCAGCTCTCGCGCACCACGCGCTCCTCGTCGCCGGCGAAGGCGCGCAGGGCCCGCAGGCAGCGGGGCCGGGCGATGGCTCCCAGCGCCTCGGCGCACTCGTGCCGCACCATGGGGCTCTCGGCGCGGCTGCGCAGCGCTGCAGTCAGCTGCGGCACGCACGCCTCGTCCTGCAGCTGCCCCAGCACGTAGCCGATCTCGTGGCGGAACAGCGCGCTGCCGCAGCGCAGCCCTGCGGGGGAGAGACAGAGAGCTGGGGTGCCCCAAAACCCACCAGGATGCCCCAAAACTCACCAGGATGCCCCAAAACTCACCAGGATGCCCCAAAATTCACCAGGATGCCCCAGAATTCACCAGGATGCCCCAAAACTCACCAGGATCCCCCAGAATTCACCAGGATGCCCCAAAACGCACCAGGATGCCCCAAAACGCACCAGGGTGCCCCAAAACGCACCAGGATGCCCCAGAATTCACCAGGATGCCCCAAAACGCACCAGGATGCCCCAAAACGCACCAGGATGCCCCAAAACTCACCAGGATGCCCCAAAACTCACCAGGATGCCCCAAAACGCACCAGGATGCCCCAAAACTCACCAGGATGCCCCAAAACTCACCAGGATGCCCCAGAATTCACCAGGATGCCCCAAAACGCACCAGGATGCCCCAAAACACACCAGGATGCCCCAAAACTCACCAGGATGCCCCAAAACTCACCAGGATGCCCCAAAACTCACCAGGATGCCCCAAAACTCACCAGGATGCCCCAGAACGCACCAGGATGCCCCAAAACGCACCAGGATGCCCCAAAACGCACCAGGATGCCCCAAAACGCACCAGGATGCCCCAAAACGCACCAGGATGCCCCAAAACTCACCAGGATACCCCAAAACGCACCAGGATGCCCCAAAACACACCAGGATGCCCCAAAACGCACCAGGATGCCCCAGAATTCACCAGGATGCCCCAGAATTCACCAGGATGCCCCAAAACGCACCAGGATGCCCCAAAACTCACCAGGATGCCCCAAAACGCACCAGGATGCCCCAAAACTCACCAGGATGCCCCAGAATTCACCAGGATGCCCCAAAACTCACCAGGATGCCCCAGAATTCACCAGGATGCCCCAAAACTCACCAGGATGCCCCCAAAACTCACCAGGATGCCCCAAAACACACCAGGATTCCCCAAAACTCACCAGGATGCCCCAAAACGCACCAGGATGCCCCAAAACGCACCAGGATGCCCCAAAACGCACCAGGATGCCCCAAAACTCACCAGGATGCCCCAAAACTCACCAGGATGCCCCAAAATTCACCAGGATGCCCCAAAACTCACCAGGATGCCCCAAAACTCACCAGGATGCCCCAAAACACACCAGGATTCCCCAAAACTCACCAGGATGCCCCAAAACGCACCAGGATGCCCCAAAACGCACCAGGATGCCCCAAAACGCACCAGGATGCCCCAAAACTCACCAGGATGCCCCAAAATTCACCAGGATGCCCCAAAATTCACCAGGATGCCCCAAAACTCACCAGGATGCCCCAAAACTCACCAGGATGCCCCAAAACGCACCAGGATGCCCCAAAACTCACCAGGATGCCCCCAAAACTCACCAGGATGCCCCAAAACTCACCAGGATGCCCCAAAACGCACCAGGATGCCCCAGAATTCACCAGGATGCCCCAAAACGCACCAGGATACCCCAAAATTCACCAGGATGCCCCAAAACGCACCAGGATGCCCCAAAACGCACCAGGATGCCCCAAAACGCACCAGGATGCCCCAAAACTCACCAGGATGCCCCAAAACTCACCAGGATGCCCCAAAACTCACCAGGATGCCCCAAAACTCACCAGGATGCCCCAGAATTCACCAGGATGCCCCAAAACTCACCAGGATGCCCCAAAATGCACCAGGATGCCCCAGAATTCACCAGGATGCCCCAGAACGCACCAGGATGCCCCAAAACGCACCAGGATGCCCCAGAATTCACCAGGATGCCCCAAAACGCACCAGGATCCCCCAAAACGCACCAGGATGCCCCAAAACTCACCAGGATGCCCCAAAACACACCAGGATGCCCCAAAACGCACCAGGATGCCCCAAAAACTCACCAGGATGCCCCAAAACGCACCAGGATGCCCCAGAATTCACCAGGATGCCCCAAAATTCACCAGGATGCCCCAAAACTCACCAGGATGCCCCAAAACTCACCAGGATGCCCCAAAATTCACCAGGATGCCACAGAATTCACCAGGATGCCCCAAAACGCACCAGGGTGCCCCAAAATTCACCAGGATGCCCCAAAAGGCACCAGGATGCCCCAAAATTGACCAGGATGCCCCAAAACGCACCAGGATGCCCCAAAACTCACCAGGATGCCCCAAAACGCACCAGGATGCCCCAGAACGCACCAGGATGCCCCAAAACACACCAGGATGCCCCAAAACACACTGACTTTTCAGGCCAGGAGAGCATGACCCCAAAAACCCCAGGCCAGGTCTGACAATGGGTCAGACCAGCTGGTCCTGGACCACCATCACAGCCAGTGCCCTCCCTCCCTCAGGGAAGGGGGTCCGGAGGGTGGCAAGGGGACTCTGGAACACCAGAGTCTGTAATGGAGCAGGGAACAGCAGGCCTAGATACAAAATTTCAGAGCAGCTCTGGCAGTCCTGGATTTGGGAAGGGTTTGTCCCAGATTAGCCTGGATAGACCCACAGCAAGGACAGGCCCTCACCTTCTGCCAGTGCCAGCACTGCAGCCTGGCCCCCCACATTCCGTAGAGCAAACATGGCCCGGTAGCGCTCAAACAGTTCCTGGGACTCATCCAGGAGGATCTCCCGGAGCTTGGCAACATCTGTCTCCTCAGCGGGGGGAGCAGGATCTACTGAGAGGTACTGGCTGCTGCCTGGCTTCTCCTTGTTGTGCTGCAGCCACTCCAGCCTCCTCACGGCCAGCTGACACGTCTCTGCCACCTGTGGGGACAGGGACACAGCCCGGGCTGCAGGACAGCACTGGGCAGCGCCAGGAGAAGCCCAGAGGCAGCAGGATGGGACTGGGATGTCCCCACCCACCTGGGACCCGCCTCCGAGACCAGCAGAGCTGCATCCCAGAGGAAATGACCCCTCAGGAACCTCACCTCGACCACAGGATCCTGGGAATAGCGTTTCAGGATATCCAGCACGTCAGGGTTCCCAATAGCACCCAGGGCTTCACCTGGAGGATGTACCAGGATGTAATTAAGGTGTCTGTGTGAGAAGAACCCTGCTGTGTCCTCTGGCAATGCCGTGCCCTGCTCTAAAGCACAGACACAGGCTTAACTGACTGATCCCAAATAGGGCAAATGCAGGCACAGGCCAGACTGACCAATTCCAAACAGGACAAACACGACAGGAGAAGCCTGGCCAGCAGGAACAGCAGAGCCTGGCCGACCTGTCCTGTCAGGTGTGGCCAGGGAAGGTGGTGAGATGTTAGGTGACTCAGGGTTGACCCAAGCCGGATCAGGCCCCCCACGAGCTGCTCTGTACAGTGGGGTGAGCACCTCAAGCCCCACTCGCCAGCCAGCCCCTGCCGTACCTGCCTCGTGCCTGACCATGGGCTCCTGGGCCGTGTCCTCCAGCACGCCGATGAGCACCGGGATGGCCGCCTCGTCCTGCATCTGGCCCAGGCAGAAGGCCAGCTCGTGTTTCAGCAGCGCCGAGCCGTCCCCAAAGGCGCGGCTGATCCACTCCACGGCCGCGCGGCCGCCCACGTTGCGCAGGGTGAAGAGGGCCCGGAACCGGGCGGGCAGGGGCTGCGCCGCATCCAGCAGCGTGCGGCCGATGGCCTCCACCTCCTGCTCCGTCACCATGGCTCGGGGGCTCGGGGGGCTCCTCGGTCACACTCCTGCGTCCGGGAAAGGCGGTCAAGGCGCGGCCCGGCTTGTGCCGGAGAACCGGACCCCGGGGCCGGGGCTGAGCCCACACGCGCGGCCTCGCACCGTCGGTTTCACCGGATAGCCGAGGCGGATACAGACTGCCCGCCGCGACCGCGCCGGACGGAGTCGCCGGGCTGGCGGTAGCGGGACCCGAGAGGAACCGCCGGGCCGGGGCATCCCGGGAAGGGCCGGGGGGTCCCGGGAAGGGCCGGGGGGGTCCCGGGGAGCTCGGGGAGCGCCGGGGGGGCCCGGGCAGGACCGGGGGATCCCGGGGGCTCGGGAAGCGCCGGGGGATCGCCGGGGGGTCCCGGGAAGGGCCGGGGAGTGCCGGGGGATCCGGGGGGCTCAGGGAGGGCCGGGGGGTCCCGGGGGGTCGGGGAGGGCCGGGGGGTCTCGGGAAGGGCCGGAAAGGGCCGGGGAGTGCCGGGGGGTCCCGGGGGTCTCGGAGAGGGCCGGGGGGTCCCGGGGGATCCCGGGGGGTCGGGGAGGGCCGGGGGGTCTCGGGAAGGGCCGGAAAGGGCCGGGGGGTCTCGGGAAGGGCCGGGAAGGGCCGGGGAGTGCCGGGGGGTCCCGGGGGTCTCGGAGAGGGCCGGGGGGTCCCGGGGGATCCCGGGGGGTCGGGGAGGGCCGGGGGATCCCGGGCAGGGCCGGGGGATCCAGGGGGCTCGGGGAGCGCCGGGGGGTCCCGGGAAGGGCCGGGGAGTGCCGGGGGATCGGGGAGGGCTGGGGGATCCCGGGGGGCCCCGGGGGGTCGGGGAGGACCGGGGCAGGGCCGGGGGATCCCGGGGGCTCGGGGAGGGCCGGGGGGTCCCGGGGGATCCCGGGGGCTCGGGGAGGGCCGGGGGGTCCCGGGGGATCCCGAGCAGGGCCGGAGAGTCCCGGGGAGCTCGGGGAGAGCCGGGGGATCCCGGGGGGGTCGGGGAGAGCCGGGGGATCCCGGGAAGGGCCGGGGGGTCCCGGGGGATCCGGAGGGCTCGGGAAGGGCCGGGGGATCCGGGGGGCTCGGGGAGGGCCGGGGGATCCCGGGAAGGGCCGGGGGATCCCGGGGGCTCGGGGAGGGCCGGGGGATCCCGGGCAGGGCCGGAGAGTCCCGGGGAGCTCGGGGAGCGCCCGGGCAGAGCCGGGGGATCCGGGGGGCTCGGGGAGGGCCGGGGGACGCCGGGGGATCCGGGGGGCTCGGGGAGCGCCGGGGGGGCCCGGGCAGGACCGGGGGATCCCGGGGGCTCGGGGAGCGCCGGGGGATCGCGGGGAGCGCCGGGGGGTCCCGGGGGGATCCCGGGGGGTCGGGGAGGGCCGGGGGGTCCCGGGAAGGACCGGAGAGTGCCGAGCGGATCCGGGGGACTCGGGGAGGGCCGGGGGGTCCCGGGGGATCCCGGGGGGCTCAGGGAGGGCCGGGGGGTCCCGGGGGATCGGGGAGGGCCGGGGGGTCCCGGGGGTCGGGGAGCGCCCGGCGTTACCGGCGCCTCACTCACCGCGCGCCGCCATCTTGCTGCTCCGCCACGTGACCGCGCGGCGGCCGCGCCTGCGCAATGCGCACGGGCGGGGCGAGCCGCGAGGGGGCGCTGCCACCGCCGCGCTGAGGGGCTGCGGCCGCCAGGGGGCGCTGCGAGCGCGGGAGGCCCTGAGGGACGGCAGAGCCTGGAACGGGGACCGGGAACGGGGAGCGGGAACGGGGAGCGGGAATGGGCACGGGGACCGGGAATGGGCCACGGGGACTGGGAATGGGCCACGGGGAACGGGAATGGGCCACGGGGACCGGGAACGGGCACGGGGACCGGGAATGGGCACGGGGACCAGGAACGGGGACCGGGAATGGGCACGGGGACCGGAGAATGGGAATGGGAACGGGAATGGGCCACGGGGACCGGGAATGGGCATGGGCACGGGGAATGGGAACGGGGCACGGGGACCGGGAATGGGCACGGGGAGCGGGAATGGGCACGGGGACCGGGAATGGGCACGGGGAACAGGAATGGGGATGGGCACGGGGACCGGGAACGGGCATGGGGACCGGGAACGGGCACGGGGAACAGGAACAGGCCACGGGGAGCGGGAATGGGCCATGGGGAATGGGAACGGGCACGGGGAATGGGAATGGGAACGGGGCACGGGAATGGGCACGGGGACCGGGAACGGGCCACGGGGACCAGGAATGGGCACGGGGAATGGGAATGGGGCATGGGGACCGGGAACGGGGACCGGGAATGGGAATAGGGACCGGGAATGGGCACGGGGAATGGGAATGGGCCACAGGGAATGGGAATGGGCCACGGGGACCGGGAACAGGCACGGGGACCGGGAATGGGCACGGGGACGGAGAACGGGCCATGGGGAATGGGAATGGGGCATGGGGACCGGGAATGGGCACGGGGAGCAGGAACGGGCACGGGGAGCAGGAACGGGCACGGGGAGTGGGAATGGGCCACGGGGAATGGAAATGGGCACGGGGAATGGGAATGGGCACAGGGACCGGGAATGGGCACAGGGAATGGGAATGGGCACGGGGACCGGGAATGGGCCACAGGGACCAGGAATGGGCACAGGGACCGGGAATGGCCATGGGGACCCAGAAATGGGCCACAGGGACTCGGAAATGAGCCAAAGGTTCTCTGGAATGGCCACAGGGACTGGGAATGAGCCACAGGGGCTCAGGAATGGGCCACAGGGACTCGGGGATGAGCCACAGGGGCTCAGGAATGGGCCACAGGGACTCGGGGATGAGCCACAGGGACTGGGAATGAGCCACACGGACTCGGGAATGGGCCACAGGGACTGGGAATGAGCCAGAGGGACTCCAGAATGAGCCACAGGGACTCAGGAATGGGTCACAGACCCTCTGGAGACACGTCGGGGCTGCCGGGCTGGGCAAACCCACCCTGAGAGGGGCTGAGGTGCTCCAAGTAGGACAACATTTCTCTGCAGAGGGTGCCAGGCTGGCCAAACCCCTCTGGAGAGAGGCAGGGGGTGCCAGGCTGGGCAAGGCCCACCCTGAGAGGGGCCTGCGAGTGTTCCGGGGTGGGAGAAATCCCACTGGAGAGGGTTTGGGCAGTGCCAGGCTAGGCAAAACCAACCCTGAGAGGGATCCGGGGTGAGAGACCGGACAAAATCCCTCAGGAGATGGATCAGGGATGCCAGGTTGGGCAAAATCAAACTGGAGAAGAACCAGGGGTGCCAGGCTGGGCAAATGTCCCCAGAGAGGGGCTCAGGATGTTCCAGGCTGGGCAAACCTCTTTGGAGAGGGGCTGGGCAGTGCTAGACTGGACAAACCCTCAGGGCGGCACATCCCTGAGTTTGTGGATGCAGTTTAATTCCAGGCTGGTGTCAGCATTTGCAAGTCACTGCTCTGCCTCTTCCTTCCCTCTCCTTCCCATGTGAAACACAGCAAGTTTCAAACCTCCAAAGGAGTTTTGCCTTATTTCAAGGCTCCCGCTGATTTTGGTCTAATGGAGAGGCCTTGAGACAGAGGAAAGAGAAATCCCAGCAGCCTCCCCCTCCTGTAATCCCCACTGTACTCCTGCAGCACACAACACACACCAAACAGTTTAGATCCCGGGGGAGAGAATGGGCACAAAATACATTCCACTGCCTGAAACCCGCACAGCAAACCCAGCACGAGCATGACACGGCCACCCCTCCCTGCCCTGGGCCCGCCTGGTACAGCTGGCAGCACTGGGCCAGCCTGCCAGAGTCCTCGGTGAGTGTGCAAGCAGAGATGTGCAGGGCAGCTGCTCCCGGGCCATCAGCCCTCCCCGCAGCTCTCGAAGTACTGGCACATCAGCTCACGCACTTGCTCAGCCCGGTCGTCCTCCATGGCAGCCGGCGCGGGCTGGCACGGCTTGGGCAGCTCGGTGGGCTCGGTGCCCTCCAGCCACTCCTCGTTGAAGGGGTTGTCGTGCGCCTCGCAGACGTTGTGCAGGATGCAGCAGGCAAGGACGAGGGTGGGCAGCAGCTCCAGGCTGCAATCGTCACACTTGAGGAGGATCTGCCAGCGCGCCTTGAGGCGCAGGAAGGCGTTCTCGATCACGCTGTGGGCCCGCTTCAGGCGGTAGTTGAACTGCAGCTGGCGCTGGGTGAGGTTCTCGTCCTCCTGGTAGGGCTTGAGGATCCAGTCTTGCAGGGGGTACGTGGCATCGCCCAGCAGCACGTACTTCTGTGCCTTCCCCATGAAATGCTTGGGAGGGTTGGGGCACAGCCGGCCCTCCTTGGCCAGCACCCACAGGCTGGAGCTCTCCAGGACAGCGCTGTTCTCCATGCTGCCTGGAAAGGCGGTGGAGACGTCCCAGAACTGCCCCAGCCCGTCCACGGTGGCCTGTGTGAGGATGGAGTGCCAGCCCTGGCCGTTGCAGTAGTCGGCGGTGAGGCGCAGGGGCGGGTGGATGGGGATGTGCAGGCTGTCCAGCGCCCCGATGCAGTGCGGGAAGCCCCAGCGCGTGCAGAAGATGCGCACCATGTTCTCCAGCTCCTTCTCGTCGGGCAGCCGGAGGTAAAGCGGCTTCAACAGCAAGACGACCGCATAGCTCACCTCCCGGACACAGCTCTGCACCGTGGAGGGCCCCACACCAAAGAGAGGACTCAGAGTCTGGTACTCCACGTTGGTGGCCAAGTGCCACAGGGCCACAGCCACCCTCTTCTCCAGTGGCAGCGTGGGGTGGAAGTGGGCGCTGTGCGGAGCCAGCCCAGGCCGCAGCTGGTTGCAGATGTAGAAGAAAGTCTCCTTGGACATCCGAAACTTCTCCAGCCAGTCCTGGGGCCCAAACTCCTTCAGGACCACCTGCTCCCACCAGTCCGTACTCCTGAGGCTGGGCCAGGCACGGGGGTAGAAGCAGCAGCTGGTTCTCCTCCGGTGAGCGATGAGGAGCTGCAGTGCAGGGGGAGACAACAGCAATGTGAGACAACAGCAGTGTGAGACAGCGCTTCCCTGCACTTCACTGGGACCCCCTGCTGAAGACCACCAGCTCAAGAGACTTGCTCAAGGCAGGAGGATGGCCAGCCCTGGGTGGTCAGTGGTCCTGACCAGTCTAACACCAGTCAAATCTTCCTGTTTCTGGGAAGCTTCACTGCAAACCCATCAGCCAGTAGGTGTGACTCTAGACAAGATGCTCAGTTGTTGCAGACAGAGTTTTCTGGAGAAGCCCTTGTTTGGGGTGGCCATTCCCTCTGGGGGTTTGTATTTTAATGAGCATTACTGGATTTCCAGCTGCTGAGAGAACTGTGGGCCAACTACTGATTTGAATGGGGGAGAGAGCATTCCTCAAAGGTGGGAGTCATGATTTGGAAGAGGAAGCTCCTGGCCTCTCTACAGGAATTGTTTTTCTATGATTAAATTCTACAATGCAACTTTAAACTAAAGAGGCTTTAGTCACCTTCTTGAGCCATTGCCCAGGCCAGCAGGTTCCTCGTGTTCCCCTTCCTCGTGTTCCACCCCAGCTTGTCCTTGCAGCCAGGGATCCCTTGTATCCCCACTGCATCCCCCACCTTTGATGTCACCCCCTCCTTCATATCCCCATGTCTGCTGCATCCACCATCTTTTGTGTCCAGGATCATATCCCGTGTCCATCAAGTCCCATCCTTTGTGTCCCTGTCTTTGTGTCCCACAGAACCCCCACGGTCCCCATCCTTTGTGATCTCTATGTCCATGTGTCCTTCCAGTCCCACACCCGTGCTTTGGGATATGTCCTCCACCCTTTATGTCCCTCTTATGACTTCCCACCACTATCCTTTGCATCCTGCCCCCACCCCGTCAATTTTTTGTGTTCCTGTGACCTGTGTACCCCGTGCCCCAAATCCCCCTTGCCCATGTGTTCCGTGTCTTTCATCCCCCGTCCGGTATCCCCATGATCGGTGCCGCATCCCCCATCCTCCATGTCGCCGTGACCTCCGCTCGTCTCCCGTATCCCCCATCCTTTGTGTCCCCGCCATCCCCCGCATCCCCGCACCCTCCGTGCCCGGTGCCCCCGCGGCCCCGCCCGGTCACCGTCATGATCCGTTTCTGCCGCTGGCTGTAGTAGTGCCGGAGCCAGGCTCGCCGCTGCGGCCCGTCCCAGCCTCCGCCGCCGCCGCCGCCGCTCCCGGTGCCGCCGCCGCTCCCGTTCCCGGTGCCGTTCCCGGCCATGGCCCCGGCGCGCCGCCGCCGCCGCCGCCGCGCCAGCGCGCACAGGAGCACCAGCAGCCGCTCCCGCATTTTCAAATCGGGAGCCGGGGCCGCCCTGGAAGTGATCGGCGGCGGGGTCACGGTGGCACCGGGGGCGGGACGGGGTGGTGCCGCTTCTCTCCTCGTGGCGCGGCTCTGCACGGTGGCGTACGGATATTGCCATCGCTGCCTGCAGCTCACCGTACGGACATCCCCATCCACACCTCACCGCACCGTCCGGCCCATCCCCATCCCCATCCCCACGGCACCAGCATCCCCATCCCCACGGCACCACCATCCCCATCCCCAGAGCACCATTATCCCCATCCCCACAGCACCATTATCCCCACAGCATCATCATCCCCATCCCCACGGCACCACCATCCCCATCCCCACAGCATCATCATCCCCATCCCCACGGCACCAGCAT